AATGGAAATGACCCCAAAGGCAATTCAGAGATCTTCAGGGCTGCCATTCCCCTCACAGGCAAGAGTGCAAGGGGCTGGGGGCCACAGGGTTTCAAAAGGGAGGGACCATCACCAGGCTTTCAGCAGCGCAGGTTGCCTCCCCCAAAGGTATCGAGGCGGGGCCACCCAGAGCCTTGGGGCCCAGCCCTGCCCAGCAAAGCTGGGGGGCAGGATCCTCCAGTGGGTCCGGAAGGCAGGACCTCTGCCCCAGTGGCCTAAAGGGCAGAGTATTGAGCCAAAGAGGATTATTCTTGAGCTTTAATGTTTAATGTGGTTTGCCCCTGTAGGGGAAGAAAAAGTTCTCCTTGATGCTCTTAGGGTTGCTTGCTGGGTCTGAAAAGTAAATTGATGAGGACAGATCAGTAGGAGAAAAGTATATAAATGTGATTGAATTTTTACATGTACATGGGAGTCTTCACAAGAGATTGAAGACCCAAAGAAGTGACCAGAGCAGGAAGCTTTTATACCTTTTAGACAAAGAAACCATAGGGCCTGCCCCGTGGCTTAGCGGTTAAGTGTGCGCGCTCCACTACTGGCGGCCCGGGTTCGGATCCCGGGCGCACACCGATGCACCGCTCGTCTGGCTGTGCTGAGGCCGCGTCCCACATACAGCAACTAGAAGGATGTACAACTATGACATACAACTATCTACTGGAGCTTTGGGGAAAAAAAAAAAAGGAGGAGGATTGGCAATAGATGTTAGCTCAGAGCCGGTCTTCCTCAGCAAAAAGAGGAGGATTAGCATGGATGTTAGCTCAGGGCTGATCTTCCTCACAAAAAAAAAAAAAAACCATAAATATATGAAGAATTGACAAGACAAAGGGGCCTGAGCTCTGGGTAGTAAGTGGTGAAGAAGTAACTAGGAAGATAAGGGCTAGTTTAACAGAGTTTTGTATAGATTTCTCAGCCCCAAATTCCCTGTCTCTAGTGATAGGCATGTCTTCCCTCCTCCTCGTGCAGGGAGGGTACCTCCCACAGGGCAGATTTATGACCTGTTTCAGGGAAGAAGAGTGAGGGGGCAGGTCAGAGTAATCTTCCTGCTTCTACCATTCACTTAAGATATTTAATATGCCAAGGTGCCATATTTTGGGGTAACATATCCTGAACCCCATCACCCCATTAGGTTTGGGATTTTTCTTTATTTTTTTTTTTATTTCTCCCTTTTGGAATGGGAACGTCTGTCCTATGACTGGCTCACCATTGTATTCTAGAAGCACACAACTTGTTTGGTTCCACATTCACAGCTGGAGAGGAATTTGTCTCAAGATGAATTGTATCTCAAGTCTCACCCATGTCTGATTTAGATGCTATTTAGATGAGATTTTGAACTAAGACTTCAAAGTTTATGCTAGAACACATTAGGACATTTGGAACTATTTGGATGGAATGAATGTATTTTTCCAGGATTTTTCAGTCTATAGCATTCCACTGTGTGAAATGTATTTTTCATGTAGGAAGGACATGCATTTGAGGGGAATGCTACAGACTGAATGTTTATGTCCCCCCAAAATTCACGTTGAAACCCAACTCCCAACGTGATGGGATTTGGAGGTGGGCTTTTCGGAGGTGATTAGGTCATGAAGGTAGAGCCCTCATGATGGGATTAGTGCTCTTATAAAGACTCCAGAGAGCTCCCTCATCCCGTCCACCATGTGAGGACACTCTGAGAAGACAGCCGTGTACCAAGCAGGAGCAAGCCCTCACTGGACACTGAATCTGCCAGCACCTTGATCTTGGACTTCCAACCTCTCAGAACTGTGAGAAATAAATATCTGTTGTTTATAAGCCACTGGTCTATGGTCTTTTCTTATAGCCACTAGAATGGACTAAGACAACGGCTTTGCCTTCTGTTCAGGTTTTCAGGAAAAACAGTGGCTTTCAGAAAACTCCATTTGGATCCATCAGCTGAATCATGTCCTCATTTGCAGAGAGCTTCCATAGCTTTCACAGCTTTGAAAAGGTTGCACTTGAGACTTACAATTAAACATGGTTAGGGAAGCAGCCCACCACCTCCTACTCCTGAAACCCTCTCTCTACTTGCCTTCCAAGACTTCTCACTCTCCTGTTTGCTTAACTCACGGGCTAATCCTTCCCGGTCTTCTTCACCGGATCCTCCTTCTCTCCCTGGCGTCTATATTCTGGAGTGCCATGGGCCTCAGTGTTTGGACACCTCCTTCTGTGTTCTAGCCACATTCACTCCCCTGGGGATCTCTTTCAGCCCCATTGCATGCAATGACGCCCACATTTTTACCTCTGGCTGCGATGCTCCCCAACTTTTGGTGGTGATGGCACATTTCTCTTATTCCTGGCTCAGTCAGGAATAGCTAATAACAAGGCTGGGAAGGTCCTGCCAATGAAGGGTCTCAGAGCAAAGCTAAGCAAGGCAAGGAAGAGAAACGTTCTAACAGATGATGTCAATCAGAATTTCCATCTAGGCCAATTAGAAGAAAGGAAACTCAATTGAGGTAGGAGGTTGAGTGGTCCTTGTCACAATGATGCTGTTAAAAATATGTTCAGGTCCTCTGATATGGATAGCATTGCGGGTTCTAGTCTCAAGTACCTCCTCCTTCTAAACTCATAGCAACAATAGGGAAAATACAAATAGAGAAAATTTATAAGCTTGGGAGCCATGGGGCATCAATAAACCAGAGGATCAGGGATGAGAGTGCAAGTAGGTGACTCCCCACTCAAAGTAAGCCTGCCATCCAAACACTGGGCTACCCAAGGAGATGGATCATGGAGAAGACTGAGGCTCACCAGAAAACAAATGATCTGCAGATGGATTTTATTTTTAATTCAGTAGTTTGAAAAGTGTTTTAAAATAAGTACACAACACTTACAGAAATAAATTAAAAATGATATTGATTTTAAAAAAGAAATTTTCAAGCAATAGAAGGCAGAAATGAAACAAAAAGAACAGGTAGATAAAAAAAGTAGAACACAGGAGAACATGAGTCTTAGCCACGTGAAAAGAACAGGCTCAAATTCACTCATCGGAATGCAAAAAGAAACTCCTGAGATACAATTTTTAAAAATCTATTCGATTGGTAAAGATAAAAAGTGTGATCTCACATTGTGTTGGTGAACAGGAGCAAAACCTCATAAATTCCTAGTGGAAAGTTAAAGTGGCAGAGTCTCTGCAGAGGACAAAGGCAATACCTGTCAAAACCACACACTACCCAGCGGTTCCTTCTCTGGCTGTCCATCCTTACACATATACCCACATATGCAGAGTAACTTAAGCACACAGCTATTTATCACGCATTGTTTTCAATATCAAACTGCTCCTCAATATGGTATAGATTAAACAGATTATGGCACATTCATAAATGGAACACTATGCAGCCATGAAAGAATGAGGAAGATCATCTCGAAGTGAGTTGGAAAGATTGCCAAGATAAATTTCTAAGTGAAAAAAGCAAGATGCAGAACATGGTTTATACTGTAGTAAGTTACCATTTTCTTTAAATAATGTGAAGAGATTATATATATACATATATATACACACACACATATATACAGATAAATATTTGTAGATAAACATATATTTTAGGTATATATTTGTATTTGCATATCATATCTTATCTTTGAAAGAAAATGGTACCACGGATGCTAGGAGGGAGGAGAACTGATTGCTAGAAGTCACCAGTGGGGTAGTGAGGCAACACTTTGCTAGGTATCATCTTGTATCTTTTGGATTTTGGACTATGAGGTAATAAAGTAGAAAGCTTGGGATTTCTTCAGATAGGTCTAGACTTCGCAGAGTCAAAGAGCAAATTAGTGAATTGAAAAATAGCACTTATAAATTTACCCTGAAACCAGCATAGAGCAAAAAGAGAAAAAAAAATATGAAGGGGCAGTTGAGAGCAATGGAGAATAAATTAAAAGTAATTCACAAATGTCAATAGGTAGGTCATCATAAGAAAATAGAGGTGCTGGTAGAGAAGCAATGTTTGAAGGACTAATGGCTAAAAACAATCCAGAATTGAAGAGATACGTGAATACTCAAATTGAGAATATAAAGTGTCTGAGTATAAAGGAGGAAAAAATAAAAACTAATATCACACTTAGGTACATTGAAGGGAAACTGAAGAACAGCAAAGATAAACAAAATCTTGAAAACTACAAGAAGAAAAAGACCAAATTGCCATAAAAAAGAAAGGAAGATTAGGCAGAACTCTCATCAGCACCAACTCCAAAAGACCATGCAGTAGCATCTCCCAAGGGCTGAGAGAAAAATAACTGTCACTCTGGAACTTTATACTCCAAATAAGTGTGTTCATCATTCCTCTAGGTGGACGCCTGGAGAAGCCCTCATGGTGTGAGTGAGGCAAGTACAAGAACAGGCTTCAACATTATCTGTATTGCTGAAAGACTGAAAACAACCTAAGTGTATATCCATACAAGAATGGGCAAATGAATTGTGATGTATGTATAATAAAATACTACCCAGCAGTTAAAGTGAGTGAGCCGGAGTTAATATGTCTCAAGAGAGATAATGTAAGAAAATGGAGACAGGTATGTCATTTGAGTTTAAAGCATGAACACAATATTATATTATTTATGATACATATTTATGTGACAAAATATAAAAAATACATAGCAATTACATATATCAATTTTCAGATTGTAGTTATCTGTGGGAAAGTAGGGAGAGGAGAGAGATTATGGAATGATATTTTGGGGTCTTCCATTGTATTTTCGGTATTATGTTTTTTAAAAAAATTCTGAAGCAAACAGCAAAACATCAGGTACAGGGACCTTTGCAGTACTTGGTATGTTTGGAAGATGTTGCAATAAAGCATTTTAAACAGTCAGGACAATGTACCATCGTGAGAGAGGTGGCTGCGTGCACACCACCTGACACGGGCCTCATGCCATTGTGATGTGTCACAGAAGGGTGATGCAACAGAAGAGCTCAAGGAATTTCAAGATTTGCTCACTCACAGTGTCCCCCTTGAAGGAGAAACACCTGTGAAGTAAGAAGAACAAAACAAAACAACCCAAACCCACTATGTATAGCATCATGTTTCCATAAAATAGAAAACAGAAAACCAAAGGTATTCTTCTTTCTACCAGCAATTTGTCACTCAGTGGGGGAAAATGAGCGGAAGACTAAAGTCGAGAAGGGGTGCCAGGTTCCTTAGAGGTCACTCGGAAGAAGCCAGCAGTAGTTCCAGTAGCAATGCTACGCTCTCAGAGCTCGGAAACCCTGACTCCTACAGGTACGTAACTCTGCAGAGTGAGCTCCAAAAGATCTTATGTTCTACACGTCATGTGTCATATGTGCTCTGTTTACTTGGAAAATAACCCAATAAAAATGTTCCTTCCTTATAGAGAAAATCATTTCCAAATGCTGTCCTCTGAAGATTTCTCTTGTCCTCTGAAGATTTCTCTTGAACACAGTACTTTCTGGGGCAGGCTGTCTTCTTTCTCTGTCAGAGGTATTTAGATTAATTACAACAGGCTGGGGACAAGGATTGTGAAGGAGAAGCCATCCTTTTAAAAAGCATGAACCTCAGCAGCAGCGAGATTACTATGTTAACTTGCAACCTGAGGCATTATTCACTTTTTTACCAACGGCCTGGCTTGCCCAGGCTCTGGGGTTTGTAGTGTTGGGCACCACGGTTTAGGACTGTAGACACAGTGGCATTTATTACATCCTTCCGTTAAGGAAGGAGGTTAGCTGGTACCCATTCTGAGCTATAATTGGGTTTCCCCTCATTAGAGCACATGCGAACATTGCCTGCAAAGAGACAGCAGAAAGCCCTGCCCCCGTGGGTGGGCCAAAGACCCAAGCCCCTTTATGTGCCCCCTGCGCACTGCCTGCTGGGAAAACAAAACTGGAAAATGACGAAATAACCATCACAATGCTAACATTGAAGTGCTTGCCCAGAAACAAAACTGTCAAACAAAATAAAAGGAGTGCTGCAAAGTTATCACACAAGAAGATGGCATTTGGAAACCACGATCACCAGCAGCGAAGCCTGCGCCCAGAGGACACAGAATCCCACAGGCGGGGAGAGGCACAGAAGGAGCTTTGGGAAGCAGAGCCTGACAGCCAGGGTTTTTATCAAAAAACTTAGTTAACCTTTGTAAATATGGTAATGTGGGAATTTTCACTTAATTCAGTCCATCTGGAGCCCAGGGCTCTCCTGGGCTGTAATGGCCTCTGGATAACTCTCTTTAGACCGTGGACCCCCACATGACCAATGATACCTAAAGAGGGGGCGAGTCATTTCAAGATACACTTTTCTGGAGGGAAGAGAGTTGAGAAAACCTTGGTTGCTTTTAGCAGAGTCTCACACCCCTGGGTGGTCAGTAAGCGTGATTGCTTTTTGTAGAGAGAGAGGCTGCTTAAAGATCCTATCTTGGGGTAATGGGATGGCTCTTTCTAAGTCTAGTCTACACTTGCTGCAGTGTTTGATCTGATTCTTGAACTGTAGGGTTACAGGCCCAACCTGCAATACAGGTCACGAAGACATCACTGAGAGAGTAAATTTATACACCATTTGGTCAACTAACTTGAAAAAATTAATTTAGGTAATCTGTTTACTGTCATTTGTTCAGAAAGTTAAAGAGCAAAATTTAAAGAAAAACACATATCTAAATATAAATGAAGTAGCTTCCAGATTTAAGGTCACTTTCTTAGCCATTCTTCATGGACGGGGAGCAGGGAATTGTGCCCTTCAGTTGAGGGAGACTAGTCAAAAAGCAAGCCCAAATTGCTGGTGACTTGCTGGAACCCCGGGACCAGCACCGCCCCCTTCCCTGAGTTGTGATCCCGAGCGTCTCCTGCTCCATCAAGCTGCCATCTGTAATTAATGAATGATCCATCTTAATTTGGTTTTTCATATGTTTTAAGTAGAAATTCCTAGTTTGCCAACTTAGAGTACTTTGTCCAGAAGCTCCTAACTTTCTCTCTTAGCTGGATCAAATTATGTTAGCTTTTTTTCTTTTTTCTTTTTTTTCCCTTTAGAGAGTTGGGTGTGAAAAGGGTATAACTGCAACCACTTTGTAAAATTGTTGGCAGAATGTACTGATTCTGAGTATGCGCATACCCCGTGACCCAGCAGTCCCTTTCTTGGGAATATACCTAAATGAAACAATTACACATGTTCATCAAAACCATGTACAAGAATGTTCATAGCAGCATCGTTTATAAGAATATTTATAAAGCATTGTTCATCATAGCCCCTAATGCCCATCAGCATTAGGATGGATCCCCACATGTGTGTACAGAGTGGATACAATACGGTAATGAGGATGAAGGACCTACCACTATACACCATGGGAGCGTGGATGACTCTCACAAACGTGCTGAGCAGAGCAGCCATACACACCGTTCTGTTTATAGGCTGTTCAAGACCATACAGGCGTAATCAGTGCTGACAGAGGTCGGGAGAGAGGTGACCTTTGGGTGTGGAAAGTGCAGAGTCTGATGGGGGCTCGAGAGGGGCTGCTGACAGGGTGTGGATGCTCTTTCTTGTTCTGGATGAGGTTACAGGATGTGTTCATTTTGTGATGGTTCACTGAGCCGTATAATTGATTTGTGTCCCTGCCTGTATGTATGTTGTACTGCAATAAAAAATTGGGAAAAGGTTATGATTACTTTAAAGGATTTTATCAGATAGTTGTTAATTGTCATAGTTCTTTAGCTTAATACCTAATTTCCATGAAATCAGACTCTAACTTTTTTTTTTAAGCTCATTCTACGTTTCAGATCTCTAGGATAACTTCCTTTGTTTTCTTCTTTACAACCATTTGTAGACATATAAAAAGGCACATAACAGCATAACTGTAATGTGTGTGAAAGTGAGGGATGTCCTGAAAACTATTTTCCATCAATTTCAAAGATAATGGATTAGGAATTAAATTAATCCACAGACTCAACCTAGTATAAGCATGTTTGTTGACTTGGTTGTAGTGGTTAGTTTAAAGTTCAAATTAAAGGTTAATGGTGATGTATTGTTAAATCTTTTTGTTGTTTTTATTCATTTAGGTTAACTCGATCATGGAGGATTCTCATAAGTATGGTGTTTATATCGACTTTTCTTCTTATGGGTAAGTCTTACTAAGGAATGATCCTTAAAGCAATTTCACAAGATGTTTCTGTGTGGTGAGAGAGCGTTCAATGGAATGACACATTTATAAATGCCACAGAAAGTGCTGGAAGTGACCGCACGTTCTTAAAGCAGTCTTCGCGTGTGTGTGTGTGTGTGTGTGAGTGTGTGTGTGTGTATTTTATTTCCAATTATGAAAGTAATACAGGCTTCTTTATGGAAAATTAGAAAGTGCTTTTTTCCTCTTAGAATCATGGTTTAAAATTACAGAAGTTGCTTTTAAGTTAAGAATTCTTAATATTTTATTGCAAACACATACAATTGACCCTTTCTAGGTGATTCAGCTTGGGAGATTTTGACAGCCAAACACAGGATTCTTGAAGAAATGACTGAATGGGCAGTTTGCAGGAGTCTGACTGCCTATATCATGCACCACAACCCCTAGTACCCTGGAAAATTGCTCTTTAATATATGGGCAACTTGAAGCATATAGTGCCCATTAAAATGAAGGTTTCAGCCCAGTTATTGCCAGGAAATGCTGTTTTATAATGCAGCAGTATTTTAGGTGCTATTTCATTGTGATTGCACGTGTACACCTGGACCGCTGGCTATCTTGACACCGCACCAGCCCAAGCCCTGCTTCTCCTTCCGTTGACCACATCTTAGTGGCCTGGAGTGCCCATTCCATCTCAGTGGACCTCTAGACTAGACCTGGAATATTCTAAGAACTGCACACTGCTTGGCTTTGCTGCCTCTGGGCCTCCTTGTCTTCATCTCTGCTGACCTTGGGCCGTCACCCTGAGCTGGCTGCCCCACTTTGCTGCTGCTGGCCCCATCTCATGACCCCTCTGTGATGAAATTTTCCCACAGCCCCACCCAGACCTGTGTACGGTGATCCAGGCCTGCGCGTCTTAGTCTCCACCTCACTGCTCGTGTCAGGAGCACGTGGTGTGAGCAGTGGAACTATTTGTGCTCAGGATTTTCCTCCTTTTGGAAATTGTACCCCATATTCCTTTGCTTTCTTTTAAGATTGAATTCTTTGCATCTCCACAGTGCCAGATCCATTTTAGACACCACTGGTATGTAAATAATTTCAGTGGTATTAAACTGGACTCAGATCCTTTTTTTCTCTATTGAGGTGAAATCCACATAATATAAAATTAACCATTTTAGAGAGAACAATTCAGTGGCATTTAGTGCATTCACTGTGTTGTGCAACTACCATTTCTAATCCCTAAACATTTTCATCACCCCAAAAAGAGATCCTGTACCCATCATGCAGCTGCTCCTCATTTCCCCTCCCTCAGCCTCTGGCAGCCACCAATCTGCTTTCTGACTCTATGGATTTATGTGTTCTGAATATGTCATATAAACAGAATCATCCAATGTGTGATCTTTTTTTCCGGGCTTCTTTCACTAAGCATAATGTTTTTGAGGCTCCTCCATGTTGTAGATGTATCAGTACTTCATTCCTTTTTTGTAGCCGAATAATATTCCATTGTACAGATGGACCACATTTTGTTTATCCATTCATCTATTGATGGGCATTGACTGTTTCCACCTTTTGACTGTTGTGAATAATGCTGCTTTAAACATGGGTGTTCATGTACTTGTTTAAGTCCCTGTTTCCAATTCTCTGGGTATAAAACTTGTAGTAAATTGCTAGGGAGGAACCGCCACACTGTTTTCCACGGTGGCTGCACCATTTCGCATTCCTGTGAGCTGTGTAGGGGGGCTCCCATTTCTCCACTTCCTTCTCAACATTTTTGTATGTGTGTGTGAGGAAGACCGGCCCTGAGCTAACATCTATTGCCAATCCTCCTCCTTTTTTTCCCCTTTTTTCTCCCCAAAACCCCAGTAGAGAGTTGTATGTCATAGTTGCACATCCTTCTAGTTGCTGTATGTGGGACGTGGCCTCAGCGTGGCCAGACGAGCGGTGCGTCAGTGTGAGCCGGGATCCGAACCTGGGCCGCCAGTAGCAGAGTGTGTGCGCTTAACCGCTAAGCCATGGGGGCAGCCCTCAACATTTGTTATTCTCCATTTTTCGGGTTGTAGCCATCCCGGGGGATGTGAAGTGTTGTCTCATGGTGGTTTGGGTTTGCATTTCTCTAATGACTAGGGATGTGGAGCACCTTTTCAGGTGCTTGTTTGCCACTCACATATCTTCTTTGGAGAAATGTCTGTTCAAGTCCTTTGCCCATTTTTTGATTGGGTTGTCTGTCCTTTTATTTAGTTGTAAGTGTTCTTTATATATTCTGGATACTGACTCTTCTCAGATATGATTTGCAAATGTTTTCTTTCATTTAGTAGGTTATCCTTTCACTTTTTTAATAATGTCCTTTTATGCACAAAAGGTTTTAATTTTAATGGTGTCATATCTAAGAATCTATTGCCAAATCTAGGTCATAAAGATTTACCTCTAGTTTTTTCAGAAATTTTTATGATTTTCACTCTTATATTTAGGTCATTGATCCATTTTGAGTTAATTTTTGCATATAGTGTAAGGTAGGGATCCAGCTTCATTTTTTTAGCATGTTGTCAGTTTGTCCCAGCATCATTTGTTGAAAAGGTAATTTTTCCTCATTGAATGGTCATGGCATCCTTGCCAAAAATCAATGAGCCAGAGATGTATGGTTTATTTCTTGATTTGCAATTCTATCCCGTTGGTCTATATGTCTATCTATATGCCATTAACACACCATTGGGATTTTGATCTGAATCGCTTTGAATATAGATAGCCTTGGGTAGTATGGCCATCTGAACAATATTAAGTCTTCTGATCCATGAATGTGGGTTATCTTTTCATTTATTTTTGCTATTAGTTCTGTCAAGTCGATTCCAACTCCTAGGGACCCTGTGGACAGCAGAGAAAAACCCTGCCTGGTATTTTTGCACCATCCTCTCATCTTCCAGCACTATATCAGACAATGCTCTGCTGCTATTCATAGGCCAATTTCTTCAGAAGTGGGTGGCCAGATCCTTCTTCCTAGTCTGTCTTAGTTTGGAAGCTCTACCGAAACCTGTCCACCATGGGTGACCCTACTGGTATTTGAAATACTGGTGGCATAGCTTTCAGCATCACAGCAACACACAGCCACCATAGTATGATGACTGATAGATGGATGGTGTGGTTCCCTGAGAGAAACAAACCTGGGCCACAGTGGTGAGAGTGCTGAATCTTAACCACTAGACCACCAGGGCTGGCTTCCATTTATTTAGATCTTCTTTAATTTCTTTCAGCAATGTTTTATAGTTTTCAGTTTTGGTTCTAAAATGAATCTCTTCTAAGCAGCATATAGCTGGGTCAAAAGACAATCTCTCACTTTTGATTGGAGAGTTTAATCCATTTACCTGTAAAGTAATTACTGATATGGATGGACTTACTTCTGCCATTTTCCTATTTTTTTCTCTATGTCTTATACTTTTTTTGTTCCTCACTTCATCCATTAGTGCCTTTTGTGTTTAAGTGATTTTTTTGTAGTGTACTGTTTTGATTCTTTTCTCATTTCATTTGATGTATAATTTTTAGATATTTTCTTAATGGTTACCATGGAGATGACAGTTAACACTCTAAACTCCTAACAATATATCTTGAATTAATACCGACTTAGCTTCAACAGCGTATAAGTACTCTGCTTCTATACAGCTCTGTACCTCCCTCCTTTATGTTGTTTTAAAAAATTACATCTTTATACATTGTGTATCCATTAACGTGTATTTATAATTATCTTATGTATTTACCTTTTAAATCATGTAGAAAATAAAAAGAAGAGTTACAAAGCAAAAATACAATAATGCTGGTTTTTGTATTTACCTATGTAGTTACCCCTACTGGAGATATTGATTTCTTCCTATGACATTTACTCTCTAGTGTCCTTTCACTTCAGCCTACAGGACTCCCTCTGGCATTTCTTGTATGGCAGGTATTATGGCAATAACTCCTTCAGCTTTTGTTTCTCTGGGAATGTTTTAATTTCCTCTTCATTTTGAAGGATGGTTTTGCTGGACATAGAATTCTTGGTTGGCAGGTTTTTTTTCACCCTCTCAGCATGTTAAATACATCATCTCACTGCCTTCTGGCTTCTATGATTTCTGATGAGAAATCTGGTCATAATCTTCTTGAGGATTTCTTGTACATGATAAGTAGTCTCTCTCGCTGCTTTCAAGATTCTCTGTCTTTGGCTTTTGACTGATTGATTACAGTGTGCCTTGGTATAAGTCTCTTTGAGTTTATCCTAGTTAGAGATTTTTTTGAGCTTCTTGGATGTGTAGATTTATGCTTTTCATCAAATTGGGAAGTTTCAGCCATTATTTCTTCAAATATTCTTTCTGCCTCTTTCTCTATCTTCTCCTCCTGGGACTTCCATAATGCATATGTTGCTATGTTTGATGAGGTCCTGTAGGTCTCCTAGGCTCTGTTTACTTTTCTTTATTCTTTTTCCTTTCTGCTCCTCCTGCTCAGACTTAATAATTTCAATTGTCCTATCTTTGAGTTTATTGATTCTTTCTTCTGCATGCTCAAATCTGATGTCAAGCCCCTCCAGCAAGTTTTTCATTTCAGTTATTATACTTTTAAACTCCAGAATTTATATTTGATTTCTTTTATAATTTCTCTATTGATATTTTCATTTCATTCGTATAACATTTCTTTGGTTTTCTTTTATTCTTTGTTCATGGTTTTCTTTAGTTTTTGAGCAACTTTAAGGCAGCTGATTTAAAATTTTTGTCTAGTGAGCCCAATGTTTGGGCTTCTTCAGGGATGGTTTGGGTCAAATTTATTTTTCCTTTAATTGGCCACACTTTCCTGTTTCTTTGTATGCCTTGTAATTTTGTGTTGGAAACTGGGCATTTCAATATGGTAACGTGGGAACTCTGGACATCAGATTTTCCCCCTTTCACAGAGATTGTTGGTATTGCTTGTTGAGGGCTGCAGTCCTTGTTTGTTTAGTGATAGTTACTGTTCTGATATCTCAGTGGTCAACCAGTGACTTGACAGAGATTTCCTGGAGTCAATGAGAGGGAGAGAAAGAATGATAACTACTCTCCCGGGCTTTACCACTTGGCTCTAAGCTGGGGCACTATTTCAAGGCTAAGCAGGGCCACCCACAACTCTGCCTTAGCCTTCACCTCCTGCTTGCACAGAGCCCACAGATCCACCCAAGGGGCAAGCTTAAGTTCCTCTCTAGGATCTTTTTTGAGCATGCATCCATCCTGGACATGCACATTGCATTCCCTTTTCCCTTCCAAGCCCTTAGTCTTCCCACAGGAGACTTCCTCCTCTGCCTTCTCCCAGGGAGGGAGACAATCATTTGGGTCTGTCTGCCACTTGCCCTATTCACTGTCCCTTGCCCAGGTGGGCATGGCCAGTTTGTCTTTAAATCTTTTAACAGACATCACAGCCTCCCAAAGAACCATTCTAGCCCAAAGGAGTGGGATAAAACAAAGATCAACCCCTGCACCAGCTAATCAGGGGAACACTGAGCAGGTCAAAACTCACAGTCACAGTAGTTGAAGAACAAGGTCTGTATTAGCCCCCTGGCACCAGTATCTGCACCAGTAAGCTGCACCAGGAATATAGACTGCCATCCGCACAGCCACTGCCACCATGCTGGGGAATGGGAGATGGTAGGCAGGTGAGTGAAAATGTCACACTGCTCTCCTAGCAAAAATAATCTGCTTTTTTCTTCAGTCCTCTGGTTGCTGTAAGTTTTGGATTAAATTTTAGAATTGAAAAAAGGTTGATCCTGTCTGTCTTCGCCAGCTTATTGTTGTTTCATGGAGGACTGATTTTTTAAGCACCTTACGCTGCCATTTTCCATATTGTCACTCAAGAATCTGATCTTCTTTTTAAGAGTGTATATACCCTTCATGCTTAGAGAAATTTCTACTGATACATGTAAAATATCTTATAAATGTTTCCAGATAATGAGAGTTGGTCTTTTTTTTTAACAGGGCTTAGAAATCACATGTGGCTTAAACAAACAGAGTTTCCTCAGAAATCCAGATCATTTTATTCTGTAATTGCGGAGTATGGTTCAAGGCTTTATAATTACCAGGTGATGTTTTGTTAAATCATTTTATGTGTCACTCATTTAAAATTTAATATGCTACAAGGCAAGTCCAACTTGCAATATGTTAACTTTGTTTTGCATGAGAATATCTAATAGAAATAATATAGGGACCAGAGTTCTATTAAGTGGCTTTATGTCTAAGAGACTCCAAAAATTCTCAGGTCTCTGATCCCTGCAGGCTCCTGCCATAGACTGCATGTTTGTGGATCTGTTACCTCTTTCGTTTTCCCTGTTTCTCCCTTTGGCAAGGGGAGCATCTATGCTGTGGCTGCCCCACCACTGTATTTTGGAAGCACATAACTTCTTTGGTTTCACAACTTCACAGCCAAAGCGTAATTGGTTTCAGGATGAACTGTAACTCAGGTCTTAGCCATATCTGACTTAGATGATGTTTAGGTGAGACTTTGGCTTTAGACTTTTGAGTTGATACTGGAATGAACTAAGATTTTTGAGGCTTTGGGGATGGAATGAATGTATTTTTCATGCAAGAAGGACATGAATTTTGGGGGGCCAGGGTCATAATGCCATAGATTTTTTGTGTCCCCCAAAAATTCATTGTTGAAACCTAATCCCCAGGTATTTGAAGGTGGAGCTTTTGGAAGGTGATTAGGCCATGAGGGTAGAGCCCTCATGACTGAGATTAGTGCCCTTATAAAAGAGACCCCACAGAGTTCCCTCATCCTTTCCACCATGTGAAGACACAGTGAGAAGACAGCTGTCTATGAACCAGAAAGATTCACCAGACACCGAATCTGCTGGCACCTTGATCTTGGACTTCCAGCCTCCAGAACCATGAGAAATAAAGCCACCTCGTCTGTGGTATTCTGTTATAGCAGCCCAAATGGACTAAGCTCCCCAAAGGAAGTTCCAGCACGTTGAAAAATGGCAACTAGACTTTTATTGTTAACCACTGTCTGATGCTCTGAGCAGATGGCCTCCCCTGTGTCCAGAAGCTGGTTAGGTCTGAATAGGCTTAGACTGAGGCCAGACACTGATGTCCTCTCTCTGGTCCACCCCACCTCTACCTCCCCAGCTTTCCAGACCAAGCCTTGTCCATCCTACTCTCTGGCCTCTGAAGACCAGAGAGAGGAGGAATGACAGGGGCTGTGGCTATGTCAGCCACTGTGGGAAGAAGGGCTAAACCAATGGACTCCACCCTGTCAGTGACTTTGGACCTGACTTCATGCCCTTTTCCCTTAGGGTCCTAAAATCCTCTGCTTCCTAGCTCATCCAGCAACTGCTGAATTTCAATGTATCTTCTCATGTGGAGTCCCTAAAGGTGAGATTTTGCTGGTACAGCCCCAGCATCATTCCAGTCCAGTGACGACTATTCCTCAGGAAGTTCATAGATTGATACCCGGAATTGCTCCCCGTTTCAAGGATGTTGCTTGCTCTGCGTATACTGAGAATCTGTGAGCACCAGAACCTGGATGAAAGAACAGCCATGTGGAAGCCACACAGGGAGGGTCAGCCTGAGATAACTCCTATATCACAAGGTTCTCCCATCAAAGACCAGGATGCAGGCCCCTGGGAGCTGGGGCAAGATAGTTAAATCATTGTCAGAAAAACAGAGATGAGAATTCAGAGTGGACAATGGTGGTCTCCACAATACAACCCACATTGTGATGGCTAATTCTATGCATCAACTTGGCTAGGCTATGATGCCCAGATGTTTGCTCAAACACCAGTCTAAATGTTGCTGTGAAAGTATTTTTTATTTCTGAGGTTTACTCAAGCAGACTTTGGTTAAAGCAGGTGACTCTCCAAAATGTGGGTGGACCTCATCCAATCAGTTGAAAGTCTTAAGAGAAAAAGACTGAAGTCCCCCAAAGAAGAAGAAATTCTGCCTCCACACAGCTCTCAGACTTGAGCTGCAATATCAACTCTTCCCTGGATCTCCAGCCTTCTGGCCTGCCCTGCAGATTTTAGACTTGCCAGCCTCCACAATCATGTGAGCCAATTCCTTAAAAAAACCAATCTCTCTCTATATATATACACATCCTATTGGTTCTCTCTCTCTCTTTTTTTTTGTGAGGAAGATCAGCCCTGAGCTAACATCCATGCCAATCCTCCTCTTTTTGCTGAGGAAGACTAGCCCTGAGCTAACATCCGTGCCCATCTTCCTCCACTTTATGTGGGACGCCGCCACAGCATGGCCTGACAAGCGGTGCGTCGGTGCGCGCCGGGGATCCGAACCCTGGGCCGCCAGCAGCGGAGCGTGTGCACTTAACCGCTACGCCATGGGGCTGGCCCCTTGGTTCTCTTTTTCTAGAGAACCCTGACTAATACACTTATAAATTTCTCTGGCAGGTTCTATCAGGGCTTGAAGATTGGGGTCCCCCTCTGCCTACAATATTCTGCCCCAGATCTTTGCAGAGGTGGCTCATCTCTGGGCTCATTCCAGCCCAGCTCAAATGTCTCAGAGAGGCTTCTGTGACCAACCCGATACCCATGACAGCATCCTATACATCCAATGTTGCCTCTACTTTATCGTGGATGCTTCATTGACTTGTTGACTCTTCCTACCTTCTCCCCCTCGTACTATAACTTACTGAGCAGGAGTTTGTCCAGAGCTTAATGCAGTCTCCAGGTACATGGAGGCTCCATGAATATCGACATGAATCAGTAAATGATGAGAGAGTGTTGTTTGTGCCATTTTCAAAAGACACCCTTCCCTTCCACCTCTCAATTTTAGATGGATCAGCACACTCATCAATGCCTTCCCCTTAAAAATTTCTAGGGCTGAGCATCTAAGGCCAATATTTTTCATGAGGATAGGGGTTTTGCCGTGGTCATTTCACTATTGATCAGTGTTACCCTGTTTTTCACAAGAAGAGAGCTCTGTTAGAAACCACTTGAGACTAATTTCGATGTGACTCTTTACAGATCCTGAGCTACAAGCAATAGAAGCTGTTTTGTGGCTTGTTTTTATTCATTTAACAATAGATTTCAGATACATTCCCTTGTCTTTAGAGATTATTTTATAACAGCATTTTATGGCTGACTAGTATTCTAATGAATAAATAATATATTCAGTAAATACTTATTTCCAAACAATTGAGTTGTTCACAATTTTTCAATATTATAAACTTATACATCCTTGTTGCTAACTCTTTTCACTCATCCTTAATTTTTTACTTAGGATAAACTCTTAAAAAGATGATAAAAGAAAGAATATTCACAATTTTTAGGTCACCTTTTTGTATTGAATCTTAATGACTTAATATTGCTTTCCAAAAAGTTAGATGTGCTCCCCCATCTCCCACCATGGAGAACAGGATGATAATTATGCACCAGAGTGATTGTAAGCACATTAAGTATATATTTCACTTTATCTTCAAAATGATCCTTTAATAAGAGTATTAACAAATCTATTTATAGATTAGGAAGCTGGATCAGAAGAATTAAGGAAATTAATGTGTATGCCTAAGGCAGCACAGCTGTAAATTCTGGACCTAAAATTCAAACCCAGACTTCATGAGACTGGGCCCGTTGGTCTGCACCGTTCGCTGTTTATGCTGAGGACGCAGTTTTATTGTCGCACTGTACAGCCTCAGCAACCATGTAATCACCATCACAATAAAGATCTTAAGACCAATGATTGCAAATGACTTGTCCAAACATGTAATTAGTCTATATCTAAAGCCCTGTATACAGCAGCGAGCTTACTTATTTACCCAGGGGTACAAACTGCAATCATTGTATCTTCTGAGACACCTGGAAGTTATATGGTTTAAAGTTATTTTATGAGATTTTTGTTAAGAAAATAAACAATGGCCACATGAGGCGTTGGTTAACACTTGCATTGAACTTGTCCCTGCTCAAATGACTGGAGGCAGGTTCCAAGGCATAAAACTTTGTGTCTCAGTCAACATTCTGCGAAAAGACGAAACAGCGCTCACTAGGGCAGCACGGGTACGAAAACTGGAACGATACAGAGAAGATTAGCATGGCCCCTGCCCAAGGGTGACATGCAGGCTCGTGAAGCGTTCCATATTTTTAAGAGTAAAGTAGTTAAAAACAACGATGACAACAACAAACAAACTGTGCCTCTGCCCACAGCTATTTCTTTGCCTGTCTCTACTCGACCCTTCATTTCTCAGGAGGTTGTCAATTCCACACCTGCTCCATTGACTGCAAATGCCAACAGGTCCTCCCTTCATGGGCGTTGTTAGGATTGGGCAGCAGGGGTTTCGTTAGGAGCTTTGTTGGAGAAAACAGTATCTTGGATGCTGTGCAGTCTGACTGAATGCTCCAGACGTGCTCCAAGGGGAGGCCCACTGCATGCAGGCAGGGAACTCCAGGAAGCATCTTAGGAATGCAACACCTGGTTCCTATCTCCAGGAGTGCTGCGGACGGGATTTCACCAGCTGTACACAAAGCAGCCTTTCCCACACCTCGATTTTTTTTTTAACACCGTGGATGCTGTGAATTTTGATCATCCCCACTCCCTCCCACCGACCTCCAATTTGGTTGCTATGATGCTCAGAAACAAATATATGGTCCATAGCTAATAACCTCCTGGAATGTAAGGCATACGTGTGTGCCAGCCCTGTCCTTCATGTGATATCTTTTCCAATCCTGTTTTCTCTTCATTTTTATTTCCTCACTTCTTTTTGGTCCTATGTCTTTTTATACTATATTTGTTCCTATGTAAAGCCACCTGAAATCCTTTTGGTAAGAAGGCAAAATAAAAAATACTTTTAAAAGTCTGGAAATTTTTAGCTTTCAAGGAACTCCCAAATTCATTTATCACCAAATTAATGAAGGAATATTTTTTGTATGTTCTTTTAAGGCTAGAACAGAAAAAAGAAACAGAAATTGAAAACACTGCCCCTACTGATGGGAAACTTACACAGAAACTGAAAAACTAGAAATAAGGATCTCTCTGTGCCAAAAATAAGCTCTCAAATCCACGTCTTTGTCAAAAGAAAACTGTTGAGGAGAGCCTATACGAAATTAAATTGCTGAGCAGAAAAAAAAAAAAGAGCAAGGGGTAATTATTTTCTCCGTGCCGTACTGTGTTCCCTTCCCATGCCATTGTCACATATCATGCAATTGCCTTTATGGGATGGTCCTGTGTGTTGCACAATTTTTGGCAGAGCAAACCAATAGGAAATCAGAGCCTTTGAAACAGGAAAGCAGATGTCAGCAGAGAAGGACAGAGCATTAGTTCCCAGATAACATATCGATGGTCACTGTGGTGGGTTCAAGGGTGACCCCCAGAACCTGTCAAAGTGACCTTTATTTGGAAAAAGAGTCTCTGCAGATATAATTAGGGATATTGAGATAAAATTGTCCTGGGTTTCCCAGATGGGCCCTAAACACAATGACAAGTGTCCTTGTAAGAGACCCCCGGAGGAAAAGGCCGTGTTGAGATGGAGGCAGAGACTGGAGGGATGCAGCCGCAAGCAAGGAGGGCCAGGGGCCACCAGAAGCTGCACGCAGCAAGACGTAGAACGTCCATTCAAGCTTCGGAGGACAGCGCGGCCCGCTGACACCTTGATCAGGACTCTGGCCTCCAGAGTCTCTCTCCAGGACCGTGAGAGAATAGATTTGTGTTGTTTCAAGCTACTGGGTTTGCAGCCATTTGTGGGAGAGCCTGGAACCCACGCGACACGTGAAGCTCGGTGCACAAAGGAGCTGAGGGCCAGGCAGAGGAAGCGGCGTGCGTGGCAGCAGTCCACTGCCCCTCGTGTTGACCTCCTCACTGACGCCCCCACCGTGGCCCTGCATGCGTGTCCCTTTCAGCAGTTTTATCCCCCTGGTCATTCTCAGCCCGGCTCAGGCGCCACCATTCCAACGTGAGATGGTCCTTTCCAGATACCTCGCTAGTGTCAGGTAAATGTCTGCAAGTCGTCGAATCCGGTTATGTTACTGCTAATTGAATCCAGTAATCAGGTCCCTTTTTTAGAAAGGGGGTGCCCCTCGCTGTCTACAATGAGGAGCCTAAGGCCTCAGCAAGGTCCTCTGATGTCGGAATGTGCTCCCCCCTCCCTGAACCCTCCCTCTTCTCCCCTTCTTACCCCCCTTCTTCCCCCTCCCTCCTTACTCCTTCCTTATCCCCTGCCTCCCTCCTCCCTCCCTTCTGCCTCCCCTTCCTCCTCCTCCCCCTCCCTCCCTCTGCAGCCCTGCCTCCAGGCTTCCAAGCCCTTCAGTCTCAGCATTCTGCCCCTTCTTCCTCCTTTCGTGTCCTCAGAAGGCGTGTCCTCAGAAGGCCTTTAGCACTTTCACAACCTTGAGAAACAGGGAATGTCTCACCATCCTAGAGCTCCAGTACCAAGTTACTGTCACTAAACAGGTCTGGCTGTTACCTCGTCTCCTCCCAATATGAGCACTATGTACAGGAAAGGCTGAAAAAGATACAGGTATCTTAGAGGATGCTCCTGTGTCCCTCCTGTCACATGTGTATATCAAGGGTAGAAGTGTGATTTCTTTCCTCTTCACCAATGAGAAGAATAACTCGACTTGAATAGTCGGGATTCAGAATGCTTTGTCTTTTTGTTTATCAGGCCAGACTTCGAATGCCGAAAGAGCAAGTGGAACTTTTAAAGTGAGTGAGATTTTCTGATGTGTGCAACTTTCTGGTGTGGTTCCAAATTGTAAAATTATAAAACAAAATCATTCCTATGGATCAATCCTTAAGGAAATAGACATCGGGAGGCGCTTTCAATATTATTTATGATTTAAAAAAGGGAAAACAACCTAGATAAGAAAGATAGGCCCTGGTCAAATATGCTGGAGTGTATGCATGTAATGAAGAATTATGAAGCCACTAGAATAATTCTAAAATATGCCTAATGATTTGGGAAGTGCAGTGGGACGCAAAATTATAAATACGATCTCTATTTTGTTACTAAGTTTTTGGGAATAAAAACTGTTATAAACACACCAGAATTTAACAGTGTTTATTTCTTTTTTTCTGTATTTTTCAAATTGTGAGCATGCATTTTTTTACCAACTGGGAAAAAATACTAGATAAGGAGTGCTCACATTTTTTCAACAGAAAGAAATACTTATTGGCTTGACATTTTCTTAATCTCGCTACCAGTAATTTTCAAACTGTAAAAGTAGCAGAACCTATTCTTCCAAACTAAACTCTGGCACGCTGGTGCTGTTAACAGGTGAAGGGCAACTGTCTTGGCTGTTCCTCCAGCCACCCGCTGCCAAGGGCTTGTCCACAGCAGCCCAGGGCTCAGTGTGAAAACCACTGCTCATACCACTCTCAGAAATGCAACGTGTGCCATTTGAAGGAGTTGAGGGCTGGGATTTAGGACTCACACTGTGAAGTCACCCAGCCTCAGGTCGGGGCAGCAGAGCCCCCGAGGGGCGAGGGATATGTAAGGTTGATTGAGTGCAAGGTTGGTTAAGCCCTACTTGCCTGCGTAGAGCAGACCCCAAGCACTAGGACGCTTTTCAAGTGTAGTGAAATGCAGTGCTCTAGACAACTGGGCATTCCTGGAGCTCCCCTCGTGTGAGAGTTTATTTCTTCTACAACATAAAGCACCTCTTCACTTTGTTGCCCCCAAGCCCAGCACCAGCTGATGCCAGGAGCCCATACCTTCCTTTCACATTGGGGGTCTCCATTTACAGGAACGAAAGCCAGACATTGGAGAACAACTTTCGTGAAATTCTATTTTTAATTGAACAAATAGATGTTCTGAAGGCATTACTTAGAGATATGCAGGATGGTCTGCACAGTTACAGCTGGAACACCGACGGAGACCCTACCGAGGTTCAGAACCACACAGAGGTCATCGATGAGGTAAGGTGGGGTTGGGGGCGGTGGCAGGGGACGTGGTTAATATTTCCTTCCGGTGTCACATTCCATGGCTTCTTTGAGTGTAGAAACCGAGTGCTGATTGATATGTGGTTTGTGTCCTCTTCTTAAAAATTCTTCCCTGACGTTACTTTCATTTACTTTCACTAAAGCTTGCCCCTGGGAGCCCACTTTTTGATAACTGCTGTGTCACAGAGAAGACTTTATGTTGCAAAGAACTTCCTACCAAAAGAAATAACAGATTCTGTTTTATTTTCCAGTAAAATAAAAACGAAAACAGAAGATCATTCAGAAATGGCAGTCTCTGAATGTCTATACACAAATACCTAAATAACAAAATATTTTTATTCGTGGATCTAAAGCTAGGGTATTTGATCTACTCAGCACCAGATTAGGCAACACTGCAACGAACCCCAATGAGACTGGTCTTGCCTCTCTTCTCCCTCCACTAGCTGGAGCTTCTTTCCTTCCCTCTGCTTTTTGAAATGCAAAGAAACCTGACACTGACCACCTACTGCCTCCCCAGCTTACTTTGTCGGGGCCTGGGACAAAGTACCGCATCAGTTAGGACTCCAACTGTTATGTCACCTAGAACACTTTTGTTTTTAGAACGTTCTTAAGAGTGCAAATGGATGAATAATTTCTAACAATCATGTACTCTGTGCAAATTGCCTTGATTCCCAAATACCGGTAGAACATTCAAGTCTTTATTACTGAGCAGAGACACTAATGAAAGAGGGGCACAGCAGGACACACACACAACCTCATTTGACTGCGTCCCTGCCAGAGCATGATGGGGAAGTCCTTAGGGCTTGGAAGGGGCCTTTGGTTCAACCTTGCGCTGTGACCTTGGGGGACGGACTGAACACACTTTGGCTTAGTTGCCTCAGCTGCCAGAGAAGGTGATATTAGAATCTGTGCAGCGCCTGGCTCAGCATGCAGCTTGGTAAATGTTCACTGTTGTTATTATTTTGCAGATTTGGGAATTTAGGTCCAAATCAACAAAGTAAATTGTCAAAACTCAAGCAGTTGGCTGAGATTGTTAACAGAAAACTCTTTTTTACATGTGTACAGGAAATGTCAAATTTGGTAAATTATGTACTTAAAAAGTTGAGAGAAGACCAAGTCCAGATGGCTGATTATGCCCTTAAGTCAGCAGGTGAGTAAAGAAGTTGAAAAGGCCAGTGTAAAAAGTGTCTCTATTCTTTATATTTATTAATTAGGAAAACATATTTATCTATCTGGTAATTTGAGATGGAGGAAAAATTACCAAATCTAGACAATGAAAAAGAGGATAGAAATGGTTGTAGTTGATTGCTCTCTGGGTGCAAATCTGAAAGGGAGTAAAAACTGTGCAGCGTCATTAGCCCGCATTGCAAAGGACCACAAAGAGGGCTGACACACCACTGTGAAGTTGGGGATGCAGGAGATAGCCTAAGCATCCCGAGCACTATAGCATTTTATATTTTATATACTAAAATGACTAATCTAAACATATTATTAGTGATTAAACGATAGCGTTTAAAGACTGCTTATAATAGTCTTGATATCCTCCAATTAAAATTAATTTTTAAGGGCTTAGACTGTGACTCATTAACGTTAATATTCTCAACGAGGTCTTGCCTCTAATAGTCTACAAACGATATGTGTTCAGTGAACAATGTGGAAGGAGAGAAGGAGGCAGAAAGATGGCAAGAGAAGGAGGGAGAAACTGTAAAGCACACACAGTAACATTAATTTTACTGATTGACAAAGCTAAATTTATACTGGGGAAATAATTTGTATCCTGCATGAAATAGAGAGCATTTGGACCAGAATGATTACTCAGTCATGGGTGTGTGTGTGTGTGCGTGTGTGTGTGCATGTGTGTGTGAGTTGAGAGAGAAACAGAGCAAGAAAACAGACTTGCCTGAACCAGGGTTCCCTGGAGCCTGGGAGGCATAAGCATTGAGATAGATGACAGAACGTAAACCATGGCATGCTTTTTCCATTTGTTTAGTTTTGGCATTCTGATACACTCTTTTTATACTTCTTCCTTCTTTTCTACTGAACGTATGTGTGACTTCCATTTTGAAAAACCCATGATGACAAATGTAGGTCCAGGGATATCCCATGTAGAACAAGGAAAAGCAGAAAATACTGTGGTTCCTCAATAAATTTTAGCATGAAGCATGATACCAGCTTCTTGTTGGGCCAAGATGGAGAAAACCCATGTAAGTCTCTCTCCCCCACTGATTACAATGAAAAGGTTTGGACAAAATATAAAAAGCAACAACCTGAATATTATGAAGCATGAACAAAAGCAGACAGATTGTGGAGAGATCAAAACCTGGAAAAGTGACCTGCGTGGGGTCAGTTTACTGTTTGTCTTGTCTTTCCTCTCACAGCTTGGGCTGAGGCTGGCTGTAGTACAGAGCTGCAAAGCAGTGGCAATGGGGTGGGTGGCTAAAACTGTGAGAGAAATTCCACCTTTCTAGAAAGAACCTTAACAAAATAGTCCTGTGGGCCAGAGAGTGTGGGGAGAAAGCCTGAAAAGACAGAGCTGGAGAGGAGATGCCCTGCTCTCGTCTATGTATGTGGCCAGCTCCGGGCTTACCTCCTAGCTGCTCATTCCTGAGGACAGGCTGACAGAAGCATGGCAAAGACTGAGAATTTGACAGATAGTCAAGCCATGGTTCAAGTCTTAGACTGACCGCTGAGTGGCACGTGGGCAGAACAGACCTATAGCAAAGGCTCTGAAAACTAAGTGAGATTGGAACCACCACCTGTAGAAAAGGAGGGAGCACTGTGGTCTGAACATTTCTGGGTTGATTATCTGATGAAACAAACAAAAGCCTTATTATAGGATTCAGAGTCTCACAGTATAATATTCAATACGTCTAGGGTGCGATTCAAAATTACTTGACATAAAAAGACCTAGGAAAATATGACCAATTTCCAAGGGAAAAGAAATCAACAGATGCCAACCCCATATTGACACAGATGTTGGAATTATCATGCAAAGACTTTGAAGTTGCTAGTGTAACTATGCTTTACGTGGTGAAAGTAAGCACACTTGAAATGAATGAAAAGATACAAGCTCTCAGCCAAGAGATAGAAACTATAGAAAAGAACCAGATGAAAATTTTAGAACTAAAAAATACAGTATCTGAGAAAAAATTCACTACATAGGCTTAATAATAGATGGAAAATGACAGAGAAAAAAATTAGTGAAATTGAAGATAGATCAACAGAAATTATCCAATCTGAAGAATGGAAAAAAAAGGGAAACAATTTTGAAAAAAAATCAACAAAGCTTCAGAAACCTATCAGACAATATAAAAAGGCCTAATATTCTTGTTCTCATAGTCTCAGAAGAAGATAAGAAATCAATGTCAAAAAATAACTTGAAGAAATAATGGCTGAAAAAATCCCAAATTTGGTTAAAAACATAAATGGACAGATTCAAGAAACTCAGCAAATCACAAACAAGTTAAACTCAAGGAAAACTACATCCAGACATATCATAATTAAATTGCTTAAAATCAAAGATGCAGAAAAAATCTTGAAAGCAGCTAGAGACACATACACACATTACATATAGGAGAACAGTGATATGCATGACTGCAGATTTCTTATTGGGGACCAAGGAGATCAGAAGAGGAAGGAACTACATTGTAAAGTGCTGAGGTAAAGGAAATGCCAATGCAGAATTCTAGATCCAGCAAATACATTCTGTAAGAATGAAGGTGAAATAAAGTCATTCTTAGAAGAAAGAAAACCGAGAGGATTCTTTGTCAAAAGATCTGCTAAAGGAAGTTCTTCAGACTTAGCAAAAATGACCCCAAAAGGAAACTTAGAACTTGAGGAATGAAGAGAAAGCAACGGCTAAGACAAATATCTGAGTAAATATGAGATGACAATTTCCTTTTCTTAAGTTCTTTAAAATACATATGACTGTTAAAAGGAAAAATTATAACCTTATCTGGTGAAGTTTTAATATATGAAGATGTAATACATGTGACAGCTCTAGAGGAAAGGTCAATGGGCGAAGTTAAAGGGACCACTATGGTTTAAAGATTTTATATTTTACATGAAACGGTAAAATATTAACTCAAAATAGACTGGTTTTGAGTTAGGTATGTGTATTGTAATCACCAGAGCAACCTCTAAAAAAAAAATACAGAGACATCCAAAAGCCCATGAATAAATTAAAAAGGGATTTTAAAAAAATCAGCTAATGTAAAAGAGGGCAGGAAAGGGGTAGCAGATGAAGAAAACCAGAGGAGACAAAAGAAAACAAATAATAAAATGGTAGACTTAATTCCAAACATATCAATAAGCATGTTAAATGTACATGGTAGAGACATGCCAATTAAAGGTGATTGGCAGGTTGCATAAAAGCAAGACTCAAATATATGCTGTCTGCAAGAAATACACTTTAATTATAATCACATAAATAGGTTAAAAGTAAAAGAATGGAAAAAAGTATATCATGCAAACAACAATATTTTACAAAGTGGAGCAGCTATATTAATAACAGACTGAGTGAGCTTCAAGACACAGAGTATTATTATTATACTATAATAAAATATTATATTATCATTATATAATGATAAAAAGGTCAATTCACTAAGAAGACATAACAATCCTAAATGTAATTGCATCAAAATAGACACACAAATCCATAATTTTAGTTGGAAATTTCTTTTTTTTTTTGTGAGAGAGATCAGCCCTGAGCTAACATCCGTGCTAATCCTCCTCTTTTTGCTGAGGAAGACCGGCTCTGTGCTAACATCTATTGCCAATCCTCCTCCCTTTTTTTCCCCAAAGCCCCAGTAGATAGCTATATGTCATAGTTGCACGTCCTTCCAGCTGCTGCACATGGGACGCGGCCCCAGCATGGCCAGAGAAGCGGCGTGTTGGCGCTCGCCCGGAATCCGAACCCGGGCCACCAGCAGCGGAGCGTGCGCACCCAACGGCTAAGCCGCTGGGCCGGCCCTTAGTTGGAAATTTCAACACTCTTCTCTCTTAATAGAAAAAGAATATAGAAAATCAGTCAGAATATAGAAGATCTAAACAACACTATCAAAAGGTTGATCTAATTGACATATATAGAATATTGCACCAAAAAATGTCAGAATACACCTTCTTTGTAAGTGCACATGGAACTTTCACAAAGACAAATCATGTTCTGGGCCATAAGGCAAAAATAAATTTAAAATAATGGAAATGATATAGAGTATGTTCTGTGACTATAATGGAAACATAAACTAGACATCAATAACTAAAAGATATCTAGAAAATCCCCAAATATTTGGAAATTAAAGAATACATTTCTAAATTACTCCTGGGTCAAAGACAAAGTTACAACAGAAATTAGAAAATATTTTTAAGTAAATGAAAATGAAACATAAAATATCAAAATTTATGGTTTGCAGCTAAAGCAGCACTTAGAGTGAAATTTAGAGCAACAAACATTTATATTAGAAAATAAGAAAGTTCTCAAATGAATGATCTAAATTTCTACCTTAAGGCAGTAGGACCTAAAGCAAGGAAAAGGAAGTAAATAATAAAGAACAGAAATCAATAAAATTTAAATAGAGAAAAACAGTTAAACAAAAAATAAGTTCTTTGAAGAAACATCGATAAAACTTTAGCCTGACCGTCCAACAGGGGGAAAATAAAAGAGAGAGAAGACATGAAAGACCAACAGCAGGAACGAAAGAGCAGACACCACTACAGACACTATAGGATTGAAAAGATAATAAATGAATATGACAACCTCATGGCCCCAAATCTGATAATTTGATGAAATGGACTAACTTCTTAAAAGACACAAACTATCAAAGCTCACTCAAGGCAAAGTAGATAACCTATAGTTATTACATAAATTGAATTTATAGTTAAAAAACTTCTTAAAAGGAAAACTTCAAGCTCAGATGTCTTCACTGGTGATATCTACCAACCATTTAAGAAAGAAATAATGTTACGACACAAACATAAAGTAGGAGAAGAGAGAGGGAACTTGCAACTTATTTCATGAGGCCATTGTTATCTGGACACCAAAACTAGACAAGGACGTTATAAGAAAAGAAGTATGTAGGCCAATATACCTCATGAACAAAGGACTCTGCTTAATCTATTTTGAAGCTCTTCTAGATGCAAGCATGTTTAGGATTATTATTTTTGTTGATGAATCCCCCTTTTTGCCATTATGTAACGTTCCTCAACAAAATATTAGAAAATCGAATCTAGTAATATATAAAAGTGATAATACAACATGGCTGAGTCGGGTTTATCCTGAAAAGGCAAGGCTGGTTTATCATTTGTAAATAAATCAATGTCATTTACTATATCAACAGACCAAACTCAAGAAGAAAAACCAGATGATCATGAAATTAGATGCACTAAAATCAGTGAACAAAATTCAATATCCTTTCATGATGAAAAAAACTCTCGGCAAACTAAAAGGAGAATTTCCTCAACCTGATAAAAGATGCCTGCAAAATTCCTCTAGCTAACTTCACACTTCTTGGTAAAAGACTAAATGCTTGACTCTAAGATGGGAAACAGGTAAGGATGTTCAATTTCATCATTCCTATTCAATACTGCAATAGAACTCCTAGCCAGCAAGATAACACAAGAATCAAAGAGAGAGAGGAAGAGAGAGAGAAAGAAGAAGGAGGAGGAGGAGGAGGAGGAAGGTTAGGAAGAGGAGGGGAAAGAGAGGGAGGAGAGAAAAAAAGCATGCAAATTGGAAAGGAAGAAATAAAAATGTCTCTACTCACAGACAACATGATTATTTACAGAGAAAAGCACCAAAAGATCTACTAGAACCTAATACGTGAGGTTAACGAGTTAAATTGTATATATACAATCTTTAGATACTAGTAATAAAAAATTGGAAAAACAAATTTGAAAAAACAGCACTATTCACAGTAACAATAAAAAATGTGAAATACTCAGGTATAAATCTAACAAAATGTACACAGGATCTGTGTGCTAAAAACTAAAAAAAACCCATGAATGAAAGAGGTAAAAGAAAACCTAAGTAAAAGAAAACCTAAGTAAGTGGACAGGTATATACCATGTTGGTGGATTAGAGGGCTCAATGTGTTGGCGCCACTCACATAGACAGTAATCTTTACTGTACATATTAAAGATTTTGTTCTTATTATCTTTAAGCTAAATCAGGTTATAGGGCGTTGCTCTGGTCTCTGATGCATATCCAGTGAAACAAAGATTATCAGGAACTAAGACCAGATGTCTGCGCCACCCGGAGACCAGCCCTTGTATAACTGGCCTGTAGTCTTTGTTCTACAAGATGGTTCTTTAGGATGCTAGTCCCCCCATCTTCCAATGTGCTAGCTTATCACTTAATAAATGCCCTTTCTCTCCTACCACCTTGCTTCTCGACTGACTGTTGGCTTGTCTTGTGGCAAGTAGAAGAACCTCCATTTTTGGCAGTAACAAATATTGTTAAGATGGCAATTCTCCCTAACTGGTCTATTGATTCAATACATCCTAACTGAAATCCAAGCAGGATTGCTTGGAAATCTACAAGCTGTTTCTAAAATGTATATGAAATGGCAGAAGAACTAGAATAGCCAAAACAGTTTTGAAAAGGAAGAACAAAGTTGGAGGACTCACACTACCTGCTTCTAAGGCTTACTGTAAAGCTACAGTAATCAAGAGAGTGTGGTATTGGTAACATCAGTGGAACAGAATAGAAAGTCCAGAAGTAGTCCCACACATACATGGTGAATTGATTTTTGACAAAGGAGAAAAGGCAAGTCATAGTGCTGGAAGAGTTGGACATTCATATGCAAAACTAAACCTTGATTCGTGACTCCCACCTTACAAAAATCAACTAAAAATGAGTCCTAGACCTAAATGTAAAGCTTAAAGGTATAAAACTTCCAGAAGAAAAAATAAGAGAAAATCTTTGTAACTTTGAGTTGGGGAAAGATTTCTTAGATATGACACTAAAAACATGATCCATGAAAGAAAAAGAATGGATAATTTGGACTTTATCAAAATTAAAAACTTCTGCTCTGCAAAAGACAGTAAAGAGAGCGAAAAGACAAGTCACAGGCTGGGAGAGAGTATTTGCAAACCAAATATTTGACAAAGGACTTGTATCCAGAATTTATAAATGCTCTCAAACTTCAATAATAAGAAAACAGCCAACCCAATAAAAAATGGGCAAAAGATTTGAAAGTCATTTCATCAAAGAAGATAATGAATATCAAAAAAGTACATGAAAAAATGCTCAACATTACTGTTCATTAGTGAAATATAAATTAAAACCACAATGATATACCACTAGGTATCTATTAGAACAGCAAACACACTAACAAAAACTGACATAGGAAGTTCTGGAAACAATGGGAAGCAACTGTAACTCTTATACACTGCTGGTGAGAATGTAACATGGTATAGCCATTTTGGAAAACTGTTTGACAGTTCTTATGAAGTTAAATATAACACTTATCTTATGACCCAGCAATCTGACCTCTAGGTATTTACCTAAGAAAAATTTAGACTTATGTTCACAACAAAACCTGAATATCTATAGTACGAGAATATCTATAGCAACTTTATTCATAATCACCAAAACTAGAAATAGCCCAAATATCCATGAACAGATGAATGAATAGCTAGTTGTAGTGTATCCATACAGTGGAATATTCCTCAGCAATAAAAAGGAATGAACTGTGGGTTCTCATTACACCACCCAGGATTCTCAAATGTGTTGATTGTGCTAAAAGAAAGTAGCCATATTGCAGAGGCTCTGTCCTGTGACTGGCTACAGAGGGACAGCAGGAGGAGAGGTCCAGAACAGGCAAATCTATAGTGACAGCAAGTAGATTAGTGACTGCCTAGGGCTGAGGTAGGAGGTTGGGGGAAATGGGGAGTGATTGCTAGGTGCTATGGGTTTCTTTTCGGGCTGATTGAAAATGTTCTAATATTGATTGTGGTCATAGTCACACAAATCTGTGAATATACTAAAAACCACTACATTGCACACTTTAAATGGGTGAATTGTATGGTATGTGAATTATATCTCAATAAAGCTGATTAAAAAATAAAAAAACAAATGAATAAAAAAGTGAATAAATATGACTGATTTAAAAAAACCCTACATACCCCAATTTACATTTTTTCTTGAATAGATTACGAGGAGCAGGGGGCAGCCTTATATTAGCATGTGACAGTGTAGTTCCTGTCCAATAGGTTGAGTAGGATTAGTGATTGATTGAGCAGACAGTATCAGCACTCAAAACAAAGTGCACACAGCGTTGTCAGATAAAAGAAAGGATGCCCAGTTAAATTTGAATTTCAGGCTAACAGCAAATAATTTTTCAGTATAAATATGCTCCAAATCTTATATGAGACATACTAGCACTAAAAAACTATTCATTTTTTATCTGAAATTCAAATTTAACTGGAAGTCTTATATTTTTTCTCACAAAATCTGGCAACCTTAGGTACACATGCACTATTTCAAATTGTGCCATCTTAGAGAAAGCACTGGTAAGTGGATATTCAGTCAGGCATGTGTCTTTTTAATGTTGTATTGTGATATCCAGATGGAATTTGAGGAAGTGACTTGCATTTTCTTTATTGGTTATGTAAAAATACATTTTGCTTCTAAAATGAAGTAATGTGAAGGGATAATATTTGATGAGTATATTTTATATATCTTTGATTAGAATTAAGCTCAATGAATTTGCAGAATTGCTATTATGAATATAACTTTTTAGTACATTTATGACGTTGGTTTTTCTGCTTTTTTGTTTTTGAGTGAATTGGGCTAACATAAAATTCTCATTTATCACATGAGCTGTTAAAATATGGGGGTCTATGTGTCTTTTTAGGTAATAAACATAATCCACATAATATTTCCATCTCTAAATCAATTGCTCCAGAATTCAACTTTTTATCAAAATACCAGTTTCGGAAATCTTGTGAAACTACACAGAGCAAGTGTGGTTTTCTCAAAGTGACAAAATTTCAGTGATAATGAAAACTGAAAGTCAGACTTTTCCTACCAATTCCTGAATATGAATTTTACCTTATTCATAATTTGTCCAGTAATAGTTTTCCAACAACATTATTAAAATCTAAATGATGGTTTGAGTTGTGTAATTTTTTATTTTAAAAATTATATTATAATTTTAGGAGCCTCCATCATTGAAGCTGGGACCTCAGAAAGTTACAAAAATAATAAAGCAAAACTATACTGGCATGGGATTGGATTCTTAAATTATGAAATGCCTCCGGATATTATTCTTCAGGTAAAAGCTAGATTACGAGTAATCTGTTTATATTTTAGGATTTTGTTCCTGTTATTTCTCATGAAAATATTAATATCTGAAATGGAGGTAGTATGAGTCTCTGAACTTGTCACAGAACCTGAAACCATCTCCTTGCATTTTTGTAGTTATCAAACTACATGAATTATTTCATACTTTATGGTCAGTAAACTATGGTTAATTAATTAATTAACTAATTATTTTAAGATTGGTAAGTTAGATTATTTACTTCTCAAATAGAACATACACATTCCATATCTTTAAGTTGATTCTGTGGCCTCCCTTTTCCATTGAAAACTTCACTCAACACACATTCACTGAAAGTTCATGCCTCCCGAGTGCCAGTACTGTGCTACCTGCTGTTCCGGCTAACACCTTCTTATAAAGTCTAATTATAACAGGGGCAATTTCCAAATAAGATTTCCACTAACGTTTCTGTTCAAGTCAAAAGACACTAGACATCAACAGATAGTAGAGCTCTTCTTAAGTATAATCTACAAGGCTAAAGTTAGTTTCCAATTAAGAAATATCTTCAGGGGCAAAACTATGGATCACATTCCGTAGTATAGTCTAGATCTGAAAAATGGTAGACATCATTTTTCTTCTTTACCAACAGCACCAGCATCACCATCACTATCATCACCATTATCACCTCCATCACCACCACCATTCTCACTACCACCATCACCACCACCATTCTCACTACCGCCATCACCACCATCATCACCACTACCACCATCTATACCACCATAACTACCATCACACCATCACCACCACCACCATCGCTGCTACCACCACCACCACATCATTACCGTTCCCACCTCCACTGCTACCGTCACCACTATCGCTATCACCACCATCTCCATAATCACCATTACCACCTCCACCACCTCCACCACCACCACCACCACCATCACCATCACCATCACCACAATGAGCACCACCACCATCTCACTACCACCATCTTCACTATCTTCTCCACCATCAGCACCATCAACACACCATCACCACTCATACCAGCTAGCTGTGTCTAGCAGCTTAGAGTCTAGTCAGAGCAACGAAAAAAACATATAATAAAGGGCTCTGATTGATCTAAGTGTAACGTGCTATGAGGAACAACCAAACCTATGGGTATCTTGGAAGTTTTCCTGTTTGATATGTATCCCATACAATGCCTTCATATTATAGGCATAACTGAGATTGTGGTCAATAGTGACTAGCTGACCAATTGTAGGGGTGGATTTATATAATCAGATAAGAGAATAACTCAGTGTTTTCTTTCCAGCCGGATGTCCACCCTGGAAAGTGCTGGGCCTTTCCAGGTTTCCAGGGTCATGCTCTAATTAAGCTTGCCAGGAAGCTCATCCCAACTGCTGTTACCATGGAGCACATCTCAGAGAAGGTATCTCCCTCAGGAGACATCTCCAGTGCACCCAAGGAATTTTCTGTCTATGTGAGTAGCTGTCTAAACCTTTGTTTAGAGAGGGTTATGATAGAAGGTGGTTGGCTAGGAGTTAGGACCTGGGATCTCATCTGAATTGTGCGGCTAACCACTTGAGAAAGTCACTTACTTCCTAGACTCTGCTTTGTATTTACCAAGTGAGGGAGTTGGACCAGATGATTTCTATTACTTAATTTTACTTTTTACTTTTATCAAAGTCATACATGTACAATTAAAAAATCAAACATTTCCATACTGTGTTTATAATGAAACACAGTTTTCCTTGTCCCACTTCTCCCACCCCTGAATTTTCCTCTCCGGAAGCTTCCACTTGCCGCACTATTAGCTGCTTATTTGGGTACTTGCTTTCATATTTGCTTTCAGTGTTATTTCTTGATGTTTCAGTTTTGGTTATTATCTACTGACGTCTTCCTGGAAAATGAAGCTTAGCTCTCTTCCATGGTTTTCCCATGCTCCCAAAATGCTTATGTCTTAACTTTTTTTAGAAACAGGTTTATGGAGATATAATTCATACATCATGCAATTAATTCATTTAAAGTGTACCCCTCAGTGGCTTTTAGTATATTCACAGAGTGGTGCACCCATCACTACAATCAATTTTAGAATATTCTTATTACCCCCAAAAGAAACTCTGTACCTCTTAGCTGTCACCCTCCATCCACCCAACCCTCTGCCCCAGCCCTAGGCAACCACTAATCTACTTTGTCTCTATAGATTGGCCTATTCTGGGCACTTGATATAAGTGGAATCATATATGTGGTCTTTTGTGATTGTCTTCTTTCATTTAGCATAATGTTTTCAAGGTTCATCTATGTCAGAACATGTGTCAGTACTTTATTTTTTTTAAATTGCTGAATAATATTTCGTTGTATAGATAGACCATGTTTTATTTATCCATTCTTCAGTTGATGGACATTTGAGATGCTTCCACTTTTTTGGCTATTATGAGTAATGCTGCTATGAACATTTATGTGCAAGCTTCTGTGTGGACACAATTTCCATTTCTTTTGGATCTATACTAGGAGTGGAATTGCTAGATCACATGGTACCTCTGTGTTTCATGTTTGGAGCACTGCTAGATGGTGTATCTTACTGTGAGTTTCAGTCAGTATTTAATGTTTTCATTGGGACCATGTGACCAATCTTGTTCTCAGTTGAGCCATATAGTATACTTGAATACTATTTTCTTCGTGTAAAATTTTTGATGTTCCTAAGGATGATAATTGTCTCATTTTTATTTAATTTGCTTAGTTTTCTATATTCCTGTCACATTCCCAACCTCTTCTTCAGAAGTCTAAATATCTTCCTATTATGTTCATTCACGTCAGATAATCTATAAATTTCTTTTCTTTTTTATTTCGAGACCTCCCTCTGCAGCACTCCGACCAACTGCTCCAGTCTGCCTGCTGGCTAGTTAGGTCTGATGCACAGCTGTTAGCCAGGGCTTCCAATTCCACACACTGAAGATTTGGCTGATCATCCAATCTATTATTTAAAAAATCTTTTCTCTCTTATTTTCCTTATTTGTTTTTTGTTCTACTTTCTGAAAGATTTTCTCTATTTGTATTTTAACCCCTATGTTGAATTCTTTATTTCTGCTGTCATGATTATTCTTTCTAAGTCATTTTTTTCTGTAAATATTCCCTTTTTTAGAGTTTAAATTTTTTGTTTCAAGGATGCAATATCTTCTCTTAAGCCTCAGAAGATATTAACGGACATTAATTGTAGTTTTGTTTCATATTCTTCTGCTCCCTCCCCTGTTGATAGGGGCTCCGTCTTTCTTCTTAGGTGCTTTTCTCATGTGTATGGTGATGCTTATCAGTTGCATTTAACAGCTAAATGGTAAAAAGCTAGCTGAAAATTTGCACACAGGGTGGGGCGCGTGGACAGGGAGCTTCAAGGGTGAATGGTCTGGTTGGGCCACTTCTTCTGGAGACCCCAGAGTGTGGCATCAGGCTGGCTGACCCTGGGAGGAATCCTGCAACTTCGTGCCCAGGAGGTTTCAGCGTGGCCGACCACATACGGGGTGTGGCTGGGAGAAGAGCTGCATGGGCCACCATTCAGTGTGTAGGGTGTGCCTTCACCTCTTATTTCTGCAGAGTGCTCCTGAGGCCAGCTGTCCTAGAGCTGGGAAGAAGAAGATAATCCTCTGCTGAGCCAGGGCAGGAGTGGTGACTGGCCAGACTGGGGGTCTAACTGCTTTTTGAAAAGGCTGTCCGTCCACCCTTGGATTTGGGGACCCCTGCAGCCCCATGCCCTGCCCCTCTCCCGTGGCCTCATCTCTGGCCCTTTCTGGGGACTTGGAGTATACTTTGGGGTCAGTGTGCTGTTGGTCCCTCCTACGGTCAGGGTAGTTTGTGTTTTCTCCAGGCCACTGAACCAGATTTTTTGTCTTAGCATCTGCTCCCATGCTTTCCTCATAGGTATGTGACTTACTTCAATTTCTTGGTCTTCCTCTCTGGAGGCGGGATCAGAGTTAAACATGGCGCTCAACCTCTCTTGTGCATCATTCGAACGCCTCTAAATGCCATGACTTTGGGGTTACAAAACAGAAAGAAGACTACTTACCATCCTTCGATGCAAGCCTGTTGCCACCCACAATAGGTGTCTGCTGACACCTATAGTTGAGTTAGGTTGTATTGGAGCAGATCAAACTCCCCTTCAGAAAGGTGCACACTGTTGCTCATTACAGAGGAATTATGGGTGAATCCTTTAGGCTAGAATTGTTTAGTAATAAAGAGTACTTCTCATCATTTTTCTCCTATATTAGCAAATTTATGAACCAAGTGAAATTAAAACAGGATGATGAAGGTGGAAATAAAACTAGCACTTCTATCTTAACAGGCTAAAGGAATTATATGAGGCTTGAGTTTTATATATATAATTATGGGTACATTATTTAGTCATCATGTATCCAATTCTTTTAATAAAATTGTTATAAATAGTTTCAATATTAATATTTTCATTATAAAATGATTGATCTAATAAACTATTTTGTTGTGTTACTATGATTTAAGGAAACTGACAGTAAACTTTAGATTCACAAAATAAATTAATTTCCACCACTGCACTCTCCTCTCAAAAATCTTCAATTTTGAACGGGGGAGAAGGAAGAGAAGTTGCATACAAATATCAATATTTTCTTTCAGTCAACAAAAGTTTACTTTGGGAACAGACTTATCTGTGTGATCAAAGTCTGGCAATTGGATTAAGTTTATCTCATTTGGAAAACACTGGGTCAATATGGGGACTCATTTTTGGTTTATTTTATTTAAAGTATAGCAAATATACTTATTAGGCCAGAGTTAATGCTGGGATTTGCCCTATCTATCCATTCATCTATCTATGTATCTGTGTGTGTATCTGTCTATCTACCTATCATATATCTACTATCTCTCTCTCTCCCTGTCTATCTAGTCAACACTAGAGGCCTGATTCTCGCCTCACAGCCCCCTGAGTTAAATGCCTAAACACCTAACACAGCACTGTGCCCCTGGTGGACACCCAAAAATGTATGGTGAATTGTTGCTACTTGAACAGACAACTGCCTCCATTTATTTTAACCAAGCGTCCATTCATTACAACCTCCATGTCTGTTGCTTTCTTTATAGGGCATCTCGAAACAATGTGAAGGAGAAGAAATTTTCCTTGGTCAGTTTGTATATAACAGAACAGGAACCACTGTTCAAACATTTGAGCTCCAGGTAATGACAGCCCTGGTTAGGATATGAGTGGCTCCATCCCTGGGATTGGTTTGTTGCAGTTGCTTAATGCAAAGTGGAATGTGAGAATAATTATGACAAAAGTATGAGTTAAGCAAGGCTTATCTGTACTTCAATTCTTAGCTCCAAGTGCTTATGTGGATTTTATTGAAAAAGACAGGCAATTACCAGAGCAGTTTCTAAGCTTAATTCTTCCTTATTTGCTATCACTTTTTTTTTATAATTTTATTTATTTATTTATTTCCCCCAAAGCCCCAGTAGATAGTTGTATGTCATAGCTGCACATCCTTCTAGTTGCTGTATGTGGGACATGGCCTCAGCATGGCCGGAGAAGTGGTGCGTCGGTGTGTGCCCGGGATCCGAACCTGGGCCGCCAGCAGCGGAGCGCGCGCACTTAACTGCTAAGCCACGGGTCCGGCCCTGCTATCACTTTTAAAAAATATATTCACTTTCTCGGTCCTTATCTTACCTATTGGGTTCCCTTGATACCATCAGGTTGGATAGTCACTATCTCACCTTCCTTGGGTAAAGGATATGGGGTTGATGGTGCAGTATGAGATGGTTAGAGGCAGAGAGGAACTCAGAGGAAGATAGACTAAATATTCAACACCAGATAATACAGGTAAAACTTCTCTTCCTAACTCAATCAGAAAAAAATAGCAATTGTTAACATATAATCCCCTGAAAGTTATTAAGGTATATATATTTCATTATTTCTCATTAGCCACAGGAAGTAATAAAGAGATGTCGAAGGCATCTCATACCATGTACAAGTGTTTTATGAAACTTCTTGGCCAATAGTGAGAAAATCTAAGCTGAAAACAATATATGTGTTAGAAATGAATGTACTTGTAGAGTTTCATGTTTGATTGTATTTCCAGTCTCTGGCTGCCTCCTTTCCTGGCACAGCCAACCAGGAGTACTGTGGGGTGTGATGGGGCAGTGAGAGGCACTTGGATGCCTAGACCACCATATTATCTTCCTCCCTTCTATTTGTCTTCTTATGAGCTTGTTACTCAATGGTAGCTCATTTTCTCATCCACTAAACCGGTATTTGAAACTAATTGTGTTAGGAAGGAAAGAGTTTTAATTTTCCATTATGTCAGCATTCCTTGGAATTCTTTGAGATGGATTTCTTTATAAGGCATTAATTTTATCTTTTCTTTATTTTCAGCATGAAGTTTCTGAATCTTTATTGTGTGTGAAACTTAAAATCCTCAGCAACTGGGGACACCTGAAGTATACTTGTCTATATAGATTCAGGGTCCATGGTACCCCAGGAGATCACACCTAGAGAGCTGGTATCGAAGGCCATGACCACGGGTCCAGAATATTCAAGTATTCTTATTCCATTAGATTTACCGCACCCATAGGAATCGAAAATTAAGAGTGGGAGGGAAACCTTACAGTGGTTCATACTTGCCAGTAAAAAATGAATGAATTTTACTAATAAAAAATAGGAAAGTGAATTCAACCTCCTTGTGGTAGTTTACCTTCTGAGGATGAATCATCTTGCTGGAGCATTGAAAAGTGAATTTGTATTTAGAAGAAGATGGTGTTATTCACCAGTCTTTCTCATAATAGCATCTTTGTTTTTATTTATTCATTCATCCATACCATGTATGGATGTCCACTGTTACCACTATTATTTAACCCTGATCTGGAGGCACTGGTCAATGTGATTAAATAAGCAAAAGAACTTAGAGGTAAAAATTAAGGAAGTTTGACCATGACTATTTGCAGATGATTAGATGAATTCTTTGAAATGCAGTAAAGTCAATTAAAATATACATTACAAACAAGGAGAAACTGCAGCAAGTTAGTGGATACAAAATTATCACATATAAATCAACATCATTCATAAATACAAACAACAACCAGTTAGAGGATATAATTTACAAAAGCCACAACAAAGATATAAAAAATCAAATATAAGAATTAAGCTACCTGTACGAAGAAATGCCCAAACAACATGGATGACAAAAAGAAGACTTCAATTAATGGAAAGACATAACTTATTTATGGATACCAAAACTCCGCTATCAAGACATCAATTCTCTGTAAGTTAATCTACAAATTCAATTTGATCTCAATTAAAAACCAGAAAAAAATTTATGGTATTTATGAGTCAATTACAGAATATTAAGGAATTATTGTTAAAAAGAATGTTTAGGTACCTGTGTGATAATGGTATTGTGATTTTGTTACAAAAAATAATTCTTATCATTTAGATTTATATGTTTAAGTATTTACAGATGAAATGATATATCTAAAATATGTTTCAAAATAATATAAGAGGAGAAAATGAGTGGGAAGATTGATGAAAAAGAGTGGCCATAAAATGATCATTGAAGTTGGTGCTGATCCATGAAGGCTCACTTATACTATTCTGTCTACATTTATATGTGTTTGATATTTTCAATTTTAGAAAGGTTTTAAAAGATTAAAACACATATATACATAAGAAGCCAAAAGGTCATGTTTTGAATCAAGCCAAATTGCTTCTAAAGTTCATATGGAAATATAAACTTACTAGAAAGCCAGGAAACCTCTGGGAAAAAAAAAAAAAAGAATCAACAAAGGGAAACAGTTCTATGACTGTGATATTGTGATTTATAATAAGAAATGTATATTTGGTCTTTGTCCTAATTTCTGCCACAGAAATCCTAAAACTCTTGGAATATTTTAAGAGATGAGAGTAATAAAGGTGTCTTTTGTTATGTTAATGAGTTGAGTGGACCTCACCTAAGGATGGGGGCTGGTTGCCAGGAGAACCAACCATGTGATGAGAGGGTTGGAACTTTCAGAACCTCCCCATTCCCTCCATGCTGCCCCCCACCCCGGGACTGGAGAGGGGCTGGAGGTTGAATCAATCACCAATGGCCAATGATTAAATCAATAATGCTTACATAATGAAGCCTCCATTAAAAACCCAAAAGGATGGAGTTCAAAGAGCTTCTGGGTTGGTGAACATGTGGAGATTCTGGGAGAGTGGCGCCTGGAGAGGGCATGGAAACCTCATGCTCTTTCCCAATACCTTGCCCTATGCATCTCTTCCATCTGGCTGTTCCTGAGTCATATTCTTTTATAATAAACTGATGATCTAGTAAGTAAAATGTTTCTCTGAGTTCTGTGAGTTGCTCTAGCAAATTAATAGAACCCAAGAGGGGGAACGTGGGAATCCCAATTTATAGCTGGTCAGTCAAAAGCACAGGTGACAACCTGGACTTGTGATTGGCATCTGAAGTGGGGGAGAGGGCAGTCTTGTGGGACTGAGCCCTTAACCTGTGGGATTTGACACTATCTCCAGGTAGATAGTGTCAGAATTGAGTTGAAGTGTAGGACACCCAGCTAATGCTGGAGAATGCTTGGAGTGGGGAAAAACACAAAAACATTGGAATTGGTATCCCAGAATCATTAATGACATAGATATAAAACAAAAGAAAAATAAATAAATTCTACTACATAAAAAGAAAGAAACCACTGCATGGCCAACAAAACCTTAAATGAAACAGAAAAAAAAATTGCCATTGATATTATAAAGACCAATCTTTCCAATACGTAAAGAGTCTCAAGAAAGCAATAATAATATCAATAACTCTGTAGAAAAATGGAAAAGAATATGAACAAACTGTTCACAGAAACATATGAAAAGGTATTCAAGCTTATTTATTTCAAGAAAAATGGCAAAAGTGATGTGGTGGTACTATGTTTCACCACTGAAATTAGAAAAATCCAAAAGTTTGATAATATTTTGTTGGTGAGGCTTGGGAAAAGAGGCTCTCTCACACACTGCTGGTGAAAATGCAAATAGGCACAACCATTGTGGAGGGAACTTGGCAAAATCTCTCAAAATTAGAGATGCATATACCTTTTGATGCAACAGTTGTCATGTGCAGAATACCATATATAAAATTTATTCATCCGCAGTGTTTACCAGGAGGCAAGGGAATAAATGAGGGGGGAAAGGGGAGCAGGAGAGGCTCCCACATATGTGAGAGCAAAATGGTTCACTGTGTAATGTTTTGTTTTCAAACCACGTGCAAGTGTCGCCTATCCAGACAGTAAACATTTTTTTTGTAAGACATGGTCTCTTGTTTATTCTTACATAATGATTATAAAGGAAAAACTCACTTCTGCGTGTTTCTCCTTTACACTCATACGACTCCCACACTCACAACACTTCTGACACCAGATGTGTGAGTTTTTCCCGCATTAGCAATTCTGTGACACCAGCTGGGTCTCCTACAATTTAATTCACTTCTGACATTTATTTCCCAGAGTGAGCACAGACCCCAGAGGTTAAGGACTCAGTCCCACCAGACTGTTCCCACTTCAGATGCCGATTGCAAGTAGTGGGTCCCTGGGTTACCCACAACTTCTGCCAGATTTCACTACAAATTGGAGATTCCCGTGACCTGCCCCCCACCCCTTGGATTCAATTATTTGCTAGAACAGCTCACAGAACTCAGGAAAACACTTATATTTACCAGCTTATTATATAATAAATGACACAGATGAACAGCCAGACACAGAGATACATAGGGTGAGGTCTGGAAGCACAGCACAGGAGCTTCTGTCCCTGTGGAATTGGGGTGTATCACTCTCCGTGTATGTGGATATGTTCACGAACCCAGAAGCTGTCTGAACCCTAGGCTGTTGGGAGTTTTACGGAGGCTTCCTCATGCAGGCATGATGGATCATTAACTCCATTTCTAGCTGCTGTCTGGAGAATGGGGGTGGGGCTGAAAATTCCAAGCTTCTAATCATGGCTTGGTCATTCTGGTGACCAGCCCCCATCCAGGAGCCCACCCAGAGTCACCTCATTAAACAAAAGGCATTCCTACTACTCAGGAAATTCCAAGGGATTTAGGAGCTCAGAGCCAGGAAGAGGAGGGGAGAGACCAATATATGTATTTTCTATTATTTCACAATGGTCAAGGGGGAAAAGTAGATATTAAATAAGTAAAGAGTGATACCTGTTATGAAAACAAAAAATAAGAAATGGACACATAAAACCAGGGGACTCAGCCACGGAAGTAGGGAAGCTCCTGGCAAGGAAAAGACTTATGATAGGGGTCCTCAGCTGGTCTCTGTGTCAGAATCACCCCATCACATGAGGGAAGTCCATGGGCCTTCTGAAGCAGCAGAGAGCCAGAAAGACAGAAGCAGAGAAGACAGAGACAGCAGGGTGCTGCCTCTGCACGCTCTCTGAGCTTGAGGACGTGGATAAGATGGGGGTGGTATGAAACAGAAAGGGCCTGGATGCCTTTTATTGAGGCACCATAATGTCAGCCCTCCATTTTCACCACAGAAAAGCAACGCTTCAGCACAACATTCAGGTCTTCTGTTCTATCTAAGGCCTCCCTTGAGCATAGGGTCCACTCACAGAGACTCAGGGCCATGGGACGCTGCAGTCTCCTGTGAGTGCTGCCCCCCAGCTGTAGCTGTTTCTGTCCCTTTGCTAAACAAATCAGAAGCTTCAGCAAACAATACTCTTGGATGTGTGTGTTTCCTGGCAGCCATTAGGTGGCCCACCTGAAACATGGCACTTCCATTAAGAAGGTGACTCTGATGAAACCATGAAAGACACATAGGACCCGGCTGTGTGGGGCGGGTGGGGCTGGGAGTAGGGGGCAGCGTGAAGGGTAGTCTTGTTGCTATAATGAGGCACACGTGTGGTGTTTTAAAGGCACTAAAAGAAGTTCAAGAGCTTTGCAAAAGTGACATGAGATGGGGCTGGACAACAGATGGAAGCTTGTAGACTTTATCTGAGGAGTGATGCTTTTGTAGCCATTGAGGATCAAATTTGAGTTTAGACATGTCAGTCTAGCTGGCCTATGGAGAATGGACCAGCGGGGCCCAGGAGTGGACACACAGAGGTTGCAGTGATCATCCAGGACAGGGATTAAAGTTGTGTGTGGAGACAGGGGGATGGAGGGAGATGAACAGAATTGAGAGGGGAGATGAGGGATTGGAAACAGTGGAAGAGGTCAGTGGGTTGCTTAGGATGGAATCCATTCTGAGTCACAAGGGGTTACTGCTCTCGTGGAGTAAATGACACAGTCACTTCCAAGCTATCAGAGTGGAAGTCAGTTTGAGAGAGTATCTTAGGGCAGTTAAACTAGCCTCCTCCCAGCAATTAGTTTGGCAGTAATGATGTTGGCATCGTTGGCATCCCTTCATGTTCCCAAGCCCCTCCCCAGGTTGGGGAATAGAGTATAGAATTCTCTTTCCACTGCTGAATACTAATTCCTCAAGGTGATATAAATTTAGAGTGCAGGCTTGAAATCAGGAGATACAGGTTCATGACCAGTTTCAAAGCTAACAAGCGCCGTGACCTTGGGCAGTGTTCTAGTAAAGACATTTTTGGAAGGCGTTCTCTGGAGCCTTACATGTGGCCAGTATGGCTACTCCAACGCCAGCCAGGCTCCTGGTGCTAGGCTGTTTAATGGGCACAGATTCCTCCATCTGCATTCCGTATGCATGCCCCTTGACAAAGCAACTTTGTTGCTCCTCCCCTCTAGAAGTGGTCTGTTTCTCTGCCCCCTTATATCCAGGCTGGCCTATGACTTACCTTGACCAATAGAATGTGACACAAATGATGTAGGAATTCTGGAGCCTAAACCTCAGGAGACTTGCAGCTTCTACTATCTCCTTGGACCATTGTCCAGAATCACCTTGTCAAGGTGGGTGGGCCTACAGGAGGATGAGAGGCCACGGGGAGAATGCGGTGCCCCGGGGCACCACCTATCGCCAACTGTCAGGCGTGTGGCTGAGGCCATGGGGGTCTTCCAGCCCAGCAGACCTTCAGCTGAATGCTGTCTCATGAGGACGCCCAGGTGGGGGCAGTTCTGTCTCACAGAATTGTGAGACACCATAAATCTTTGTTGTTGAAGCCACAACTTTTGGGGTAGTTTCTTACACACCAGTAGGTAACTGATATACTTTCCATTTCTAGATTGCTACAGTTTCTCAGATTCCCAGTCCCAGTTACCGAAAGAGGACTCCAAAATGACTGAGCTCTCTTTATTTATTAAGTGCTGGCAGCCTAATAAGAGACTGCATATACAAAGAGATGATGGTCAGACCATAAAGACAGAACTCTGACCCACAGCCTGCAGCAACCTGCCTGGGAAACCAACCCATCATCTACAGTAACCGGCCTGGGAAGCCAGCCTGCTCTCTACAAGTCAGACCACTGTCTCTAGCAACCAGACCAGGCAGCCAAATAATCTCCCCTGTAATGATCGGCCTCAAATGGCCAGGGTGTGATCAATAACTGACAGCTTCCCTAATTTTTGGCCCCACTTCCAACTTTGGACCAATAGAGAGAGCCAAATATGCTTCCCTGACCAATCCCCTGGGACGCCCCACTTCTAGTAGCCGGCCCAGCTTCCCCAGACCCACAGCCCCATCGGGACACACCAGAGCCTTTCCTTTTTCCACTACAAATCTTTCCCTCTCCTTGGCCTGCCTTTGAGTCTCTGCTAAAACGCAAGTGATGGTGGCTGACTCTGAACAAACAGCCTTGCCTGTTCTCACTGGGGTGGTCTTCATTGATTCCCACAATATCAATTGCTTGCCTGCAGGTCAAGTGTACAGCTGTTCAGTCAGCAGGAGCGTGTGGGTCACTGTCCACTCACAGCCTGTGATGCAGTTTCCCATAAAGGGTGTGTAGTAGGGCATGCCGTGCTGACGTTTCTAATTTTCTCTCTTCTCCATCTTTAAAATGGGGGTAATAGCACTGACCTTATGGGTGTTTGTTATCCAAGTGATAATATCAGTATAAAGTGCTATAAAAGTGGTAGCTATCTACGTCATCCTGCTGATGGATAATATTTAAATAGTACTTTGTAAGTGAAACACAGGAAGTACCCAACAATCGCTGGTCTCCCTCCTCCTGGGTGGTAGGTGTTCCCTTCTCAGAGCCCCACCCTCAGCACTATGCCTGATATTTCTCAGGGCTCCACAGATGTTAATTTAAAAAATATCTATGAAATTTATTGAAGTATTCTTCCTTTAACATCTAAAAGATGAGAAGGGTCTTTGAAGAGCTGCTTAAGCAAAACACATCCCTTAAACTAGTACAATTCTCAAAGACATTCACTCATGCCACCTCTACAGTGTGCTTTCCGTCATTTTACAGTTCTCATGTAAAAGAAAAAGAAAAGGTAATTATTCCCTGTCAAATTTGATGCAGAACCTCTGAGCTATGCCAGTGTCTTTCCTCTTGGGTAATTTTTCCAATGTTAACTGGTAATAACAGGACTGCAAATAGCCTCTCCCCCTCCCCCGACCCCCCAGGGACTGGGGAAGATGAGCTAGCATCTGACAGACACTGGGCAGACACAGCTGTGGGTGACAGCTAGTAAATGCATCATTATCCAGGTAGAATTTACTGCCTCTGCAGCTATAAACAGGTTAGTTCCCTTCCTTCCAACTCCACAGACTGACTGCCTTTTTTTTTTTTTTTTTGTGAGGAAGATCAGCCTTGAGCTAACATCCATGCTAATCCTCCTCTTTTTGCTGAGGAAGACCAGCTCTGAGCTAACATCTATTGCCAATCCTCCTCCTTTTTTTTTTCTTTCCCCCAAAGCCCCAGTAGATAGTTGTATGTCATAGTTGTACATCCTTCTAGTTGCTGTATGTGGCACGCGGCCTCAGCATTGCTGGAGAAGCGGTGCGTCGGTGAGTGCCTGGGATCTGAACCTGGGCCACCAGTAGTGGAGCGTGTGCACTTAACCGCTAAGCCACGGGGCCGGCCCACTGACTGCCTTTTTATATGTTTCACTCTAATTATATTTCCATTTCTAAGAAGATGAGGGCATTTCCTTGCACAATAAACAAACATAATGAACGGCATCAACACTGTTCCCCAGATCATCCTGTGCCTGACTTACTAACCCCTGAGGTTTGGTGTTTTTTAAATCAGAAGGCTATTTACTAGCTAGGGCAACAGCAATGTGAATACACATTGCATTAGAAAACTCAGTAGCACACGGGCTTCTAGAGATCTCAGGTGATCTCGTTTCTTGTCTCAAAATCATTTGGAAAAAATGTAGGGAAGCAGTGTCAATATATTTAATTATCAATACTGAAATTGTTGAATTATTAATTTGCCAAACCCATTTAGTTTAAGAAAACTGGAAGAGTACATAAGATTTTTTTCTCTTTCAAGAAAAAAACATTATAGCTTAATTATATATTTGTTGGGTCAAAATAACCATATTATTTGGGCAGAATGGATAATCACACAAGTCGTCTTAGAAAGTTTAAAAAAAAAATTTTTAAGACAAAATTAAAGGATTTAAAGATCAATATATTATGAAACACTGTTTACAAAGATTATTTAGATACGTTCTTTAATCATATTCATGATCTCCATTGCAACCACCTCATTTAATAATTTATCTCACTATTTTAAAATTAATTAATAAAGCGATAAAAAAAGCATGTTTTGTTAGCAAAAAAATTTAAATTGGCATTATATCCTGTTTGCTTTGGCAAACACTTGTATGTAACAATGTAGATCAGGTTCATGTTGTAGTTTTAAAACAGGCAAAATTGTTTGTAATTTTTGTATTTTCCACTTTAAAAATAACCTGTTATTATTTCTCATATCTTGATTCTATGTCAAGTTAAAAACAAGCTTCTAGGTTCCTATACGCAAAGCATATTAAAAATAACAGATTCTAAACATGGATAAGCTTGTCATGGAAAACTAGCTTGGATACAATTGTTCTATTTCCCATTTTGTTTTTTGAAATTCTACATTATTTATGTCATTTATGCTACAAAAATTTTAACAGGAGCTGGTGAAGTTCATCTTGAGACAAAGTTGCAGAATTATTACTTATCATTAGTGTTCTTTAAGCATCCTGTCTTTACCACAATTAAAAAATTTAAATTTAAAACCATAATCCAACATGATGCCACACTGCTGAGGTACCAGTACTACCATCTGAGCCAGGTTCTAAAGCTGCCCTACCTCAGAGGGGTGTATAAGTGATAATTTTACTTAATTATTTATAAATAAACGATTTTGTTTTTGGTGTTTTAAAACAGAATTGGAAATAGCTGTCACAAAGTTCTTTCAAAATGTGAATCCTCAGAACCAATCCTCATACGTGGGGGTTGATGACTCTCGCACCACTAAAAGTAGATGCCACCGTCACTCCGGGGCGTGACCAGGGACCCCCCCTTCCCCGGGCGTGACCTGAGAACCCACCACTCCAGGGTCGTGACTCGGACCCCACCCCCACCCCGGGGTCGTGACCCGGGATCCCACTGCCACCCCGGAGCGTGACCCAGGGACCCCACGTCTCTCCGGAGCGTGAGCCGGGAGCCCACCTCCCCCAGGGGCGTGACCCCAGACCCCTCCCCCTGGGGCGTGACACGGCGACACCACCGGCAATTGGCGACGTGACCAGGGACCCCACCTACCCCGGGGACGTGAGCCGAAGCGTAACCCGGGCCCCTTCCTCCCCCGGGGACGTGTCCTGTGACCCCTCCTCCCCTGGAGCATGATCCGGGGACCCAATCTCCCTCGGGGGGCGTGATCCGTGACCCCGCCTCCCCTGGGGCGTAATCCGGGAACCCCGCCTCCTCCAGGGACATGACCTAGGACCCCGCCTCCCCCGGGGCGTGACCGGGGGACCCCGCCTCCCCTCCTCGGGGCGTTCCTGGACCACGTGTAAGGCCCGGGCTGAGCCGGGCGGAACCAATGGGCGCGCCGCGGCGTTTCCGGCGGGACGCTTAGGGCGGGACTCGAGTCCGCCCCCAACAGAGGTCCCTCGCGGGCCCGCGTCCAGCCATGAAGTTTCGGTCCAAGATCGTGGACGCGGCGTGTCTGAACCACTTCACTCGTGAGCGCGGCTCGGGGCGGCGGGGGGAGCACAGAGGGGAGGGCGGCCCGGAAGGAGGCAGTGCGCGCGGCGGGGGCGCGCGGGGCCGCGGGCGGGCGGGGGCGCGTGGGCAGGAGAGCGGGTGCCGAGGCTTGTGCCTCAGACCGCCCGGCTGTTCTTCTGGAGCCGGCGCTGGCCCGACAGACGGCTGCCTGCGGGGCAGGCGTCCCCTCGCCCGCGGCCGGCGCCCCGGGCCCGGCGGGCCACGCGTGGGCGATGAGTGGGCGATGAGTGGGCGAGGGCGCAGCCGCCCTCCGCGCCCTGGTGCCTTGTTCCCGCGGCGGTGCTGGGGCGGCCGACACGACTTCAGCGGTGTTCGGTGCTTTCCAGGGGCAGACCGCTGGACACGGCTGTTTTCCCACCGGGAAGTTGCACCGTGTTGAGCCAGTTCTGCGGGCTAAGTTGGCCCCTGGGACGCTCGATGTGCTTCGTAATGAATCCTCACTTTGACCCCCCTCTAGGAGTCAGTAACATGATAGCCAAGCTTGCCAAAACCTGCACTCTCCGCATCCGCCCCGATAAGCTGAACTTCATCCTCGCCGACAAGGTGGCCAATGGGGGGGTGAGCATGTGGTGTGAACTGGAACAGGTGAGTGGAGGCCCCCCGGGGGCCTGCAGACTCCTCCCCAATGCCATTGGAAAGGGCACACATGTCCCCCCTTTTTCTTCCTTTAGGAGAATTTCTTCAGTGAATTTCAAATGGAAGGTGTCTCCGCAGAAAACAATGAGATTTATTTAGAGCTAACATCGGAAAATTTATCTCGAGCCTTGAAAACTGCCCAGAATGCCAGAGCCTTGAAAATCAAGCTGACTAATAAACACTTTCCTTGCCTCACAGTCTCTATAGAGCTGGTGAGTAGCAGGGGAGCATTTTTGAAACTTCCCAGAAGGAACAGAAGTGGTTATAAGCTTAGGCTTTTTAAAAGTATGTGGAAAACTAATTGGTTTTATAAAAATGAAATTTTATTTTATTTAAATTAATTTTATTAAAATTTATTTTATTTAAACTGTTTTATTAAAATTTATTTAAATTAAATTTTATTAAAATTTCCATTGGAGTCAGTTCCTCATATTTATTTTTTTATTTTTTATTTTTTCATTTTTGTGAGGAAGATCGGCCCTGAGCTAACATCTGCCAATCCTCCTCTTTTTGCTGAGGAAGACTGGCCCTGGGCTAACATCCATGCCCACCCTCCTCTACTTGATATGGACGCTGCCACAGCATGGCTTGACAAGCGGTGTGTCGGTGGGCGCCAGGGATTCCAAACCGGCAAACCCCGGGCCGCTGCAGCGGACGGAGTGCGCGCACTTAACCGCTTGCGCCACTGGGCCGGCACCCCTCCTCATATTTAAATGGCATTGTGATCATATAATATTGAACCAGGATGCTGTCCTTTTCTATGCAGTAAGACTTCTGTATCTTTCTTCTCAGATCTGCGTATCCCAGCATCTCCATTTCTTTTAGGGGTATTGTCACCTAGGGTAGAAATCGTGGTTTCTATCCATTTTCACGTTTGAAGTGTCTGGTGTCAGGCCCCCCCATCTGCTGTAACACAGTTCAGTGACTTCTTGTTCTCGAGTAGTACGTCTGTCTTTCGTGCTCCTACCAGAGGAATTGAATGCACAGCTCTCCTCAGAACACAGGCACACACCACAGGCTCTCACTGCTCACAGAAGGAAGTTCACATTTCTTAATGTGACGTTCAAAGCCAAATGGGAGACTGCTACCCTCTGATTGGTTCCCTGCGTGTGTCCGGTTCTTTTCCAACTCCCAGACTTTGGCGATACTGGGGCTTCCACTTGGACTCTCTCTCCTTATCACGCTGAAACGTTATCTTCCTTTAGTGCTCAGCACCAACGCTGCGTCCTGCCTGGCCTTCCCTCATCTTGGCATCCCCTCCTTTATGTGTTGTGCGTACTTTATCCATCTTACATGTGAGTCTTGTGTTCAGTTGAACACTCTATGGAAGAGGATTCCTCAACTTTTCTTCACAACTTTTTCTTAACTCTTTGCAGTCAGGCAGTTCTTAGAGCTAATCATAGTATTCCATGTCACAGTATGTTTGGTATGTTTCTTCAATTGCTTAAGGAAAAGCAAGATAGTAATGTATAATGCTTTTCTATCTAAAAGTATAGGGTACTTTGGTTTATTATGACTCTCATAGAAGCCCCTGGACATAGATAAACATAGTTTTCTCCTTTCAGCAGTGTGGGCACTGCATCACACTGAGTGTCCTGTGCATACAGAATGGTCTCTCCGTTCCTTCAACATAGAAAGTTTTCTTTTGCCTCATGGCTTCACATGTGCTGTTTCTCCTGCCTGGGACACTGTCCCACTAGTCCCCATCTTCCCATGGCTGGCTGCTTCTTGTTCTGGTGTGATCTGAAATGTCACCTCTCAGAGAAGCCTTTCCTGACCTCCCAGTCTAAGAACCTCCCCACATACTCAGCTGGTCACTTTTATTTTCCTCAATGCTGTAACCATTATATGTATTGTATGCAGTTCATCCAATTTCGTGTGTTTATTTTCTTGCTTATTGATCCATTTGTACCACTGGAACATTGGGGACCTTATCTTGTCACCACACTTCCCGGCTCCTAATAGGACCCAGAGCAGAACAGGCATGCCCTAAATATTTGTTGAATGGACTTTGATGAATGAATTGAGAACATTCCACTTAGATTTGCTATCAACTTTTTTTTGTCCTTCAGTTCTTCTGTTTTTTTTCTTTTTTTAATATTGACATTATAAAAATATTTTTTAATTCTTCTCTTGGCAGTTATCTGTGTCGAGCAGTAGTCGCATTGTGACACACGACATCCCCGTAAAGGTTATTCCTAGAAAATTGTGGAAGGATTTGCAAGAACCCGCAGTCCCAGACTCTGATGTGAGTGATGCCTGGAGTCCTGTTGCTCATCACGTATTAAATGGCATGATTTGAACTTTCTGGTTTAGTTACAATTTTGCAGTATATTTTATTTGAAAGTTGCATGGTACCTGAAAAGAAAGTGATACTCATTTTTAAAGGATACTCCAGGAAAAAAAGTGGTATATTTGCCTTTTCTTGTTTACGTAAAACGTCTTAAAACAGTGCTGCATATAATAGAAACACCGAACTCTTTACAGATAGGAGAATGTCTTGCTCACTAATAGTGCTTAAATACAACAAAACTAAGGTAGTGCTTTGGAGGACAGTCGTTTCTGTTGGGAGCAGTGGCCTCAGGCACCATTGTGGGTTTCACAGAACTTGATTTCACCTCATCCTGTGAGGAGCGACGTCCGGGATGTGTGTAGGAGCCCCGAGGAGAGGCTGCTTCAGTCCTGTTGACAGGAATCTCAGAGCCACCGAAGATGAAGATGATGCCACGGAGTCCTTTGCCTCTTGCTCCTAATTTATTGAGGAAGAAATTATGAAAATATACTGGATAGAAGATTTACTTGACTTTAACTAGAAGACCTCTGCACTGACTGGGACAAAGCCAGCATCATGTTGAGCACTGTTGCAGCCTGCTGTGAGCGCTGAGGCGGGGACTTGCTCGCAGTGCTTTGTCAGAGGAGGGAAGGGCCCTGGGTGGGTGTGCATCCCTCAGAGGAAGGCCTCCCGCTGGTGCTTGAGTCTGTTCCCCTAGGGGTGTACAGAGCATCTCAGCTGCAGGGCTGCAGTCCTGGCACTGGAGAATGCCCACAGGGTTGTGGTCGCTGAGGTCACCACAGGCAGGCATGGGTTAGTGAAGGTATAAAATTGTTTTTCTTCTCATATTTAAAAAAAAAACTTTATTCAGACAGTTTAAAAACACAGGATTCTGGAACTTTTAAGCATATACACATTCCAAACATAGGTAGTGAGCAGTCAGTACTTGACTATATTAGTATTTTTAATACTTCTAATTTTTCTCATTGGTTTTGTAGGTTAGTATTTATTTACCAGTCTTGAAGACTATGAAGAGCGTTGTGGAAAAAATGAGGAACATCAGCAATCACCTGGTAAGCGTTAACTTCTTTAGAAAAGAGCTTTGAAGTATTTGGTTTAGGCTGTGCTTGGGAGGAAACCTTGCTGCCCTAGGCGGGGAGGCCGCCACGTGGTGCCCCCCGGTGGGCAGGTTCCCTTCACTGGGGCCCGCTCTGGGGACCTGGCCTGTTCTTGAGAGCTCGTAGTTTCACAGATGCCCTTAGAAGCCTGTTGTAGTGCTTTCCAACTCTCCTTCACTGGGAAAAGTTTTTGTATTTGCCCTGATCCCTTGCGTTTATATTTATAGTATATTAAGGATATGTTTGACAGTTCTGGCTTTCTTTCCTTATGTTTTGGACGGAACATTACACATTTTATCTGCTAATATGTATTTTTTTAGTGAATCATTGATATTGGCAGTGATTTGAGTGTCCTATCTATTTGCCAAATGTCTCAGTGAGCCCAGGACAAAGATCCCCCAGACTACACCCATCTGAACTCTAAGCAGCTCTCAGGCCAAGTAGACAGGCACATTTATTTCTCTGTTTACTTTTGTAGAGGTCTCTCAGTGTCATGAAATGCTACAGTATGTGACAGCGATGGGGAATTGTGTGGATTATCCTTCTTCACACCTGGGGTTCTCCTGAATTCTTTCTTTACTCCCCCCTTCAAAACACATTTGATTATGTCCTTGAATCTTAAAAACCACTGTCCACCTGATGAAGTGTAAACTTTTAATCTTCACTGTCTGCCAGGCCTTGTCTCCTGTCACACAGCCACACCCTCTCTGCAGAACCATTCTAGACTCTTTATCCTTCCCCATGATGCCATTTCTTTCCAGGTTCTGTCTCTGCCACTCACACTCGCCTTCTTCTCTCCCATCTTACCCTGGAAAGCACTTAGCCCTTCTTTGCACTCTTTTTTTTTTGGTGAGAAATATTAGCCCTGAGCTAATATTTGTTGCCAATCCTCCTCTTTTTTGCTGAGGAAGATTGGCCCTGGGCTAACATCCATGCCCATCTTCCTCTACTTTATATGTGGGACGCCTGCCACAGTGTGGCTTGATAAGCGGTGTGTAGGTCTGCTCCCAGGATCTGAACCTGCGAACCCTGGGCCACCGAAGCGGAGCGTGCGAACTTGACCACTACGCCACTGGGCTGGCCCCTAGCACTTAGCCATTCTTGCTGTTCATTGTAACTCCCAGACCTCTTCCACTGCCCAGGCTGTAAGACCCTTCTCCACTGAGCTGCTCTGTTCAATGCTGTGTGATAAATTACCTGCCAGTATCGTGGAACTCCTTACTGAACTGCCAGCTTCTTTTTTTTTTTTTTGTGAGGAAGATCAGCTCTGAGTTAACATCCATGCCAATCTTCCTCTTTTTGTTGAGGAAGACTGGCCCTGGGCTAACATCCGTGCCCATCTTCCTCTGCTTTATATGGGACACTGCCACAGCATGGCCTGACAGACAGCGCGTTGGTGCGCGCCTGGGATCCGAACCCTGGCCGCCAGCAGCAGAGCGCACGCGCTTAACTGCTGTGCCGCGGGGCTGGCCCCTGCCGGCTTCTTGAAAAGGGAAATTCATCTTTGTGTCATAGCCACGCACTGTGGGATTGCCACTCAGTAGGTAGTCAGTAAGTGTTGGATGGACCTGGAATGAAATTTAGCTTCAGGAGATCTTTGGAATTGCAAAAGATTTCTGAAGCCTAGAAGATATTGATGGGCTATTTTATCTCTATAGTTGTGCTCACTTGGGTAATTTTCTTTCATGACTTAATCTTTATGGATTTCATTTTAATTTACAATCAGCTTCCCATGAAACAGTGTGTGCTCTCCTGACGTTGGTGTTCCCCTGTGACTGCCTTGATGTTGATCCAGTTGCCAGGCGGGATGCTTCCTCTGGGGATAAGGTTCAGAGAGGCCCAGGAGAGAAAAGGCAGGGCAGTTAATCCAAGGATCTGACTGTTTGTTCTTTCAGTACAATGGAAATGAGTCAGCAAAGTAGCTTAGATAGATAAAGTCATCAGAGGTGTTTTTCTTCTCTCTGGAGTGTTTAAAAACAAATAAAAGTTTTGTGGAGTGGCTCCTGCAATCTGGAATACTAGATGGAAAGTTACCCAGTGCACAGAAAGTTAGAGTAGCCAAGAGCATGATGAGATCTATTTGGGTAACCAGAATTTTGTGTTTGAAGATTACAGAGAATTAAGGAAAGTGAGTGGGACTCAACACGGTAATCTGCTGTCTTGTTGGGGATGCTCAAGCTGCCCTCGTTGAGACTCAGTCCTTTCCTTACTTCCTTTAATGAGCGATGTGACTGATGAGGGTGGGCTGTGTGTGTGACTTGTGTAGGAGCAGGAAAAATGAGCACATATACTGGGAATCTACATCATGTTTTAGGACATTGCTTTTTAAACTCTAACGTGCACGGGAACACCCTGGGCTGGGCGTGAGACTGAGTTTCCCACGAGCTCAGGGATGCTGACGCCGCCTGTCTGTGCACCACCTTGGTAGCAGGGCTTTGTATTAGGAGCTGGGCTATGTTATACCTTAAATGTTGTCTCAGAAACATTATCTCAGAGTGTCACAGGATACGCCGGTCGTTAAAACAAGGGAATCTGGGTTTATGGGTGAGAGGCGCCGTGATGTGGTGGCCCAGGTGAATCCTCGGAGCCGCACAGCCCTGGGGCCACTCCCGGCCGCACCCCTCGGCTGTGTGTGTCCTGGTGCTGCGTGTTGCCCAAACTGGGGTGATAGTGCAGCTACCAGAGGGGCTTTGTTCCTTTTGTAAACTGAGAGGTGGTTTGTGTTAGATGCCCAGTACATTTAGTCAGCATTCCATAAATGGTAGGAAATTATGGTTAAGGAAATCATTGAAAGAAGTAAGATCTTATCCAGATTCTTAAGAAATAGAGGATGCTGGTGTGGGTGATATTTTGGGTAATAATCGCAAAACAGACATGGGTGACCAGCATTCAGAGTTTGTTAATTCCTTGGTTTTTTTAGAGGAAGATCGGCCCTGAGCTAACATCTGCCAATCCTCCTCTTTTTGCTGAGGAAGACTGGCCCTGGGCTAACACCCGTGCCCATCTTCCTCTACTTTATATGGGATGCTGCCACAGCATGGCTTGCCAAGCGGTGCGCGCCCGGGATCCGAACCGGCAAAGCCCGGGCCACTGCAGCAGAGCGTGCGCACTTAACTGCTTGCGCCACTGGGCCGGGCCCTTCAGTAAGTTTTGATCTAACGCTGCCATGTACCAGACACTGGGTATGGTCAGGAGAGATGGAATCTGATGTTTGATTACTCAGATTTTAGGAATTTGAAGAAAGCATGAGAACATTTAAGCCTGAAGTGAGTCTAGGACCTGTGCAAGCTGCTTTCATGAATAAATCTATTTATATAAAACTATTGTTTTTCAAAAGCCATGCAAATTTACAGATAGATATTGAATGTGTATTCATTTGAAACAAATGGGCATATGTTGTGTTTAACTTTACAGAGCCCCAGTAAGCAGTCCAGAATTGTTGTATGTATTTTATTTTGGTCCAGTATTGTTTCTGGATTATGGTAGAGTGGGCCTAAGAATGCAACAGTATATTTGTGGGTTGTGAAAGAATAAGGCTGGCAATGAATACTTCCCATTCAAAGGTACCTGTACTAGATTATATAGCAAGTAAGTTTGGGAGGCTCTTTTCTATTTAATGTCAAAAGCCTCAGAAATAAGAGCTCACCCAAGGTAAAAAAATTTTTTTGGTTTTGTTTCTAGAATGAGAAATATTCAGTTCACCAATTTTAGGAACAACAGTGAGGCATCTTCAGTTCTATTCACTAAGGATAGACAGACTTGGCTGCAGCGGAGCTGTGCAGAGCAGGCCATGCTCCACTGTCTCCTGAGTCCCGTCTCCTTGCACCTTTGGCCTGGCTCCTACCAAGTGAGATCACTGCCTTTCTCTCTCCAGTGGCTGGGTGGTGGGCTTGTGTTATTGGTTGAGCAGAATGTGGACTTTCAAAATGCTGTGTGGGCATTCCAGAGACCTGCCAGGCTTTAGAAATGGGCAGATACCGACATTAGAAAGAGAAATGTGTGCCATCAGCAGATTAGCGAAATCTTGAACCATATTAGTGGCATAGGTATCTTTCTCTGAACTTCATTTCTAGATTCTGTCCAGTTGAAAGAACTCGTTGGTTGTTGGTGGAGGGTGGAGCTTGAAAAGAAAGGGCCCTCTAATCTGTGAAGAAGTCACAGGCAAGGAAAAGTGGAGAGGAAGGCGAACACTGTTGGAGGAGATAGGAGGGGCAGGGAGAGACTTGAGGGTGGGAGGTGTGGAGTTGGGAGGGGCCGGCATCAGTCACCAAACCTAGTTGTACTGTGAGTACAGGACACTGCAGCTTGTTGAAGTCCTGGAGACCTGACAGCGTCACCAGACCTTTCTGAGTTTGGAAATCTCACTTCCCAGCATCTGAGTTTATTTTTTAAATGAAGGGTTATGTTGTCACGAAATTCAAAGACTTCATGGTTATATTAAATTTGTAGTTATAACCAATGGTTTGGCCCATTTATAAAAATAAAGGAATTGGCAAGCTTATTTTAATTTCCAGTTTCTCTTCCCATTCTCCCCCTCCCATTTTGTCATAGTAGCATGATGTCCACATTGTCAAAGCATAAAATAATTACATGTTATTCTGTCCCCTGAATTCCCACCATTTGATTTTGGCTGCGCAGGAAATGATAACGCTCACCCCTGTCTTCCAAGGCTGTTCTCTAGCAGATCGCCTGGGAGGGATTTACGGGAATAGTAGTTCATTAGTTTTCACGTGTTCACGATCAGTCTGGCTGGATGTGAAGTCTTGGGCTCATGCCTTCTTTCCTCGTGCCCCATTGTCTCCAGTATGGAATGTTGCTGCCTGACAACGATTCCATTCTGATTCGGTTTCACTTGTGAGTAGCTTGGATTTATTCGTGGGGGAGGGAGGCATGGATAGATCGCCGGGGGATTTTTTCCCTTTCCTTTGGCATCCAGTTGTGTGGCCATTCCAGGTTCATTTTCCCCATGTGTGGTATCCCTCCCTGCGTCTGTCCAAGTCCCCTCCACGTGGGGAAGGCTCCTGAACTGCAGCTGTTAGCAGGTATTCTAGTCCTGTGCTTTGCTTTTCTTCTGGAACTCCTTTGCCCTGGACTCTTCACTGTCTGTTTGATTCTCTCAGATCCTTTTCCTCTCTCTGGTTCTGTTGGGTGATTATTATTTTTCGCCTCTCCACCTCACTTTCTCTTCCTGTGCTCGCTGTGGTACGTGTGCACATGTCTTCCTTCTGGTTTAGTTTCCATTTCTGACATTTTCCCTTGTATTTCCACTTATTTCCTGAGCTCTGTCAGCTCCTTATTTATATCTGCATGCAGTGTGGCCATCTGATTTCTGAGCTTCCCTAACTCTGACTTATCTGTTCTTTCACAGCTTCTGTTGTTCTTAGTTTCTTCCAGCTCCTTCTGAAATCACACGTTAGGCTTTGCATCTGTGTTGTGCATGGCCTGCGTGTCTCTAAAGTGTGCTCAGTGTGCTCATTGGCCACTGTTATTTCTGTCTTTTTTCAGAGTATCTTGGTTTGGGGTTTGACTACAATCCTTTTAGGAATCCTCTTTTAGGAGGAGTTTTCATTTCAGCTGTGAGAATGGACATGGATAGTCTTCTAGCTTCATAACTAGGGTTCTTGATTTTATTGTAACCACAAACTATTAAAGCGTACAGGCTCTCCCACAGCCACCTCTCCAGGACTTCCTGAGCCCTCTCCCTCTTCCTCCTCCCCCCATTAGACCCAAGGTACCCATTTTGTTCACCTGGAGCTTTTCCTCCCGAGATTTCTTACTAGCGCAGGTTCTCACCTGGGAGGGAGCTCCCGCTGGCTCTTCCCAGGAACCTGGGGGCCAGGCCTTCCTTGATCCCCCACCATTGCCAGTCTCCTGGCAGAGTCCCTCCCAGCTCCACCTGTGTTCAGGTCTCCCTGCTGAGTTCTCCGCTCTGAGGGGCTCCTCTCCTTTGGACATTTTTGGGAATTTCTGAGTTCCTGGTTCTCAGGCCTTGTCTTCCCTCTGTTGCTGATGCCGCATGGGTGTCAGTGCCACTGGAAGTGTTCTAGGGTTTTGTAGGGTTGCCTTGTCACCTGATTTGGTCGAAGATGATGTCCATTGGTTTTTTTTTTTTTTCCTTTTGCTTTCCTTTCCTTTTTTAAGACTATGTAAAAAACTTAATTTGCAGATTATTGAAGCAAATCTAAATGGAGACTTGAACTTGAAAATAGAAACTGAAATAGTGTGTGTCACAACTCATTTTAAAGATCTTGGAAATCCTCCCTTAGGTAAGTTTTCTGGTGGGTTATGTTTTGCTTTTGATAAATTACTTATTTCAGATGACGTACCTTACTGAGGGTGTCTAGCCAGAAAAAGGTTGAAATCTGGTTGACTGTGTTTCATGCCTGGGGAAAGAACAAAGACTTGAGATTGGAGTACCTGTTGGTGCAGCGGAGTAGAAGATGAACCTACTGGGCGTGAGGCACTGTGCCTGCCACTGAGCAGCTGGGGGACTGGCACAGGGTCTTGAAAATGGGGTCAAGCCAATAATCTCCAAGAGCCCTTCCAGCTCTTAAATTCCTGTTTCTGCTACTAAAGATTTCAATTTCTCACCTGGAATACAGTGAGAAAGGTAGATAATAACATTTCTTATATTCTCCTACTTTAGTCTCTTTAATACTTAGAGAATTAGATTAGCAAATACAAACTTTTCTCACATGATCACATTTTTCTTCTCATACAAGGTGATAAGGGACTGCAGAATCAGTTCAGTAAGCAGTGAACGACAGGGTGATTAACTGCATTGGTTCATGGGGTTAGAATCGTGTGCTGCAGAGCTCCCAGCAGTGGGCAATGCAGTTAGAGGGGTGCTCGAACCGGGAGCGAAGCCAAGGACCAGGGAAAAGTATTCGCTTATAGTGTGAAAACCGGCTTAGACATGCACATGAGCCAAGACAGATATACTAGGCCCCTGCCACTTTAGAGTTAAAATTTAGTACTACCAGTTTGCTTATTGCAGACACGTTTTAGCATAGCATTTCGAGGAGTTTTTACTTTATAATGAAAGGCATACTCGTCCAGCAAAGTGAATCTGGATGATCAAGGCTTTGATAACAGTTGTGTGCAATGACTTATTTTGGTGTTACTCGTTTTGTTTATTTTAATAAATGCAAAGAGGGTCTTACCTTTGTTACTTTCCCAGAAGCTGAAAGGAGTGAAAGGATGTTTTTTTTCCTTTTTGTTCCCCTTTAGAATGAGAGGGCTTGCATTAGCTCTGTGCATTTCAGCTCTTAGATATGTGTGAGAGGACTAAGAAATGCAGTTTTTTTGACCTAAAGGGAGAGATTGGGTCATATTTCAGGTCCCTGTAAATGGAGATTCTCTGGAAATTAGCAGAGTATTTTAGAGTCAGGACTTAATGAGTGCTTGCTTAATGAATGACTGCATTTACATCTTGCCGTGTTTCTCCAAGTTGCTAAAATCAGTGGTAATGTAAATCATTTATTTAAGTAAATGGTCATTGTGCTATCTCTGGGTTCCGTTACATCTGAAGACATTGTATTTAAAAATGTTCGTGTTATTTTAGCCTCTGAAAATGCTTCTCAAGCTAGAAATCCAGAACAAATGGCTGAAGTGCACGTAGACATTAGGAAGCTCCTACAGTTTCTTGCTGGACAACAAGTGAATCCTACAAAGGCCGTGTGCAGTGAGTTTGCGTTTCCATTTGTTTTTTTCTATTTCAAATACTTTAATTCACTGTAGTCTCACAAATGGTATGCAGTCTTGTGAATGCAAAAAACAGCTCAGTTGCATGGGCTCCAGTTTTCTAGGGCAGTCAGGTGTTTTGGGTTTTCCCGGATTCAGAAGTACCTCAAGGTGCAGTAGGAAACAACTGCGGGATACTTGGCTCCTGGAGGCCTGCAGCCCCACTGGCCTGGCAGATGGGTCTGGGCCGCCTCACTGGCTGTCACATGTGGGTCTGTGCCCGGAAAGAAGCTTCAGGAGCACGGGTGCTGATGTCCCAGTCCTGCCATGGTAATCTAACCTCACGGATGCGGAGTCCCTCATGGTGTTTGGCTTGGATTTAAGTCCCCAGCCTGATGCCTTTGTTGCCTCCCTGTGTCTAAGCCTGAGCGGTTTCTACACTTGTCCCCTATCTCAGTGTCTGCTTCCTCTCCACTCCCGATTTTTAGCGACAGTCTCTTGATTCTGGTTGGCCTGTGTTCCTCAGCCTCACACCTGCCTTAGCACCCTTCATTCGTTGCCCACACATGAGGAGGGGCTCACTTGACAAGAATTTTTCAAGACTCTGTCTGTCTCTGCTACTAAGATCACAGCAACTGAAAGGGATCTGTGACCTTGCTTGGAAGAGACACCTTTTATGTGACAACTTTCAGCCACCAGTGGACACTGTTGAGAAGGGTGGCCCAGGGGTATACTTAATAATCATCAGATTGTCAGCACTCTGGAGAAGGAATAGAAAATTATAGATGGCTATGTCAAGGAATGACAGCCCTTTAGAATGAGAGACATGAAGAGAAGCAGAAGAGACCAGAGAGGAGAGACTGTAGGAGGGTAGTTAGTGCATTAGGAAGGCATTAGATGGGGTGATAGGGCACAGGAGGGGGAGTGCAGAGGACACTGGGCCAGGGAGAGGGACAGAGGAACTAGAATGGCCGGATCTGGGGGACTCTTGTGGGGAAGGTACCAGTGTCTGCCTGTGCTGCACCTTGAGAAACGTTGGCATGGACTGTGACACATTTTTAGGGCTGAGAGTGGTGGGAGCTACGCTTCAACGCAGGGTCCTTACAGATTTAAGACAGCTTCTCAAAACACCAGTGTGTATAGCAGTCACTGGAGATCTTGCTAAGTGCAGATGTCTACGCATAGCTCTGCATTGCTAACAGACTCCTGGTGGATGCTGCGCTGTTGGGCCTGGCAGCCACGGTTTGGGTAGCAAGAGTGTCAGCTACCCTGCTGTCTGCATAGTGAAGCACTGGCAGTGGGGGGCTGCAGCCTCGGGCCTTGAGCGGTGCTGTGGCCAGGAGACAGAGGAGTTGTTAGTTGTCGGCCAGGCAGCTGACTGAGCCGCCTGTGCCCTGGGAAAGGTGATCGGCATACGTGAGTGTAGCAGAGAGATGGACCAGCAAATAGTGACATAGCAAAAATGGAATCTCTCTTACCTTTTCTTTCGTCCTTCAAACCTCCTTTTCTGCCTGTGGTTTCTGTCTCTGCGGGTGGCATCCGCTAGGTGTCCTGCCTCTGGGGATACTGTCTTTGATGCCCTCACTCCACCCGCTGCCTCTGTGTCCAGTGCCTCTCCTGGAGAGTCTGTCTTCCCGCTGGTCCTCTGTGGTCCTGTCCCACCTTCCATTCTCCCATGACTGGTCTCTGCAGCACAACCGCATGCTAGGCTTTTCTCGGCACACTTAGGTCACTCACTGGTGGGAAGCTGCTTTTTCCTGGAAGGATGTTGATTTGGGTAAATGTGGTTGCCAGGAAGTTGGCCTTGTGGGTTTTTCACTAGAGGCTCGGCAGCCAGCTTCACTCTTCCCCCCGCTGCTGGCTGTGGGTGAACCAGTCTGAGCGAGGCCGTCAGTCAGCACCGGCTGTGACGGTGGCGCGCAGAGACCACGAACTGCTCACCTCGGGAGGGCCAGGCACTCAGGGAGAAGACAGTGCACCTTTAGTACACCTTTGACGGGGCTCAGGGGAGCAGCTCTTCTCACACGGGGGAGTGGAATTGTGTGCTGGGATGGGTCTTTACACTCATGGCTTTTCTTCTCTCCCTAGATATTGTGCGTAACAAGATTGTTCATTTTGATTTGCTCCATGAAGATGTTTCCCTGCAGTATTTCATCCCAGCGTTGTCATAGCACCGCTTCCCAGATTTGGGAGCTCAGGGACCCCTGTCATGACGGGGAAGGCAGGATGGTGATGTGTTCTAAGTCACTTGTCTGTGTCCTTGCGGCACAAATCCTATACAAGTTACTTATTTTTCCCTCTATAATATTTTAACTAAAAATTGAGTTAATGAAACACAGTTGGATAAACATATTACTTCATTATTTTCATATTTGTTTTGTTTTGCTTTTAAGACATTGAAAAGAAAAGAAGGAATTTATCCAGAGTTTAAACAGCACTTGCTTATTGAAGTTGTGAAAATCCTCCTGTATTTTGAGTTGGTATAGCGGTCAGAATTCACAAAAGTTTGTTGAGCGTGGTACTTTTTTCCCCCAGGAAGTCTCCAACTCTGCAGATTGTAGCAGATAGTCAGTTTCTGCGGGCACAGTTCTGCGAGAACTTAGGTTTCCATGTGCTCCCCTCTCCTGGCTCCCTCCCTTGGAGCCTGATAAGGCAGGGACAGCCCTCTGCCGCCTCAGTTGCTCAGAGCGTCATGGGGTGTCGGCTGCAGCATGTGGAGCCTTGTTGTGATGCCCATGAAGATGAGAGTTCCCCCCTGGTGGTGCCGTGCAAGCCGGCCCAGCCAACCCAGCTCCCAGCGTCTCCCTGAGGCCGATGTTGGTCCCAGGTTATAATCCTTCTACAGTGCATTGGGTCTGTCATTCTGGAAGGAACAGCTGTGTATTTAGAGAAGGAACAAACAAGACTTCTCAGTTAGTATCTGTGTTCAGAGAGGAGACCACGTTTCTGTTTGTTTGTCACGGTTGGTTCGGGTCCTGATGAGTCTGCTTTCTCAGTTCTCCCTGAGGCATGCTCTCTCATACTTCCTGTTATGGTTGAGTCTCATATGGTCTTTTGGAGGTGGACATCAGAAACGTTGTCTTAACATCACATTACAAAGTTGAGAAATAAGGCGGTTGCTTAGGATGAGAGGGAGAAATGGGAAATCAGCAAAATTGAAAAATTCTTTTATGGCTTTCTCCTACTATTTGGTAAAACCAGTGTACTGGGATGACTCTTCTGATGCTTACTGTTAGTTCAGATGGTGTGTAATCTTTTGTTAAACTAACACTTTAAAATCAGAATGTTATTTTAATTTTGAAGCCTCTCTCCTTTTGGCTTATAGCAAAATTAATTCCCCCTGCTGTGATAAAACTTAAAAATCATGATGCACGTTGAAGTAATACCTGAAAATAGTTTTATAAAACTTAGATTTCTGTTAAAGAAAATGTGTTCGTGCTTACCAATCTGGAAAATTGATTACGTCTGATTATTTAAATGCTGATTTTTTAGTGTATAATGAAAATAAAATACTGTTTTTTAGTGTAAGTTAATAGTAAAAGAACTATAGTAAAAAATACTAAGTAAAGTATTTCTTCATCTGCGTTACTGAAAAAGCCCTTTGGTTTTCTTTTCCCAAGAATTTAACATACATACATTGGCTTTCTGTTACTGGGGTGTCACATTGTGGGCGGTCCTGAGGAGGACACCTGGGCAGGGCCCATCCACATCAGAACAGCTCAGACGTTCTGAGACTTTGCAGTGTGGCTTCTTTATTTGGTAGAGGAGGTCAAGTGACCTGCCCCAGGCCACACAGCTAGTGGCAGGGATGGGATTAGAATCAAGAATTCCGACCGACAACTCCTTCCTGCACTCTTCTGCTAAGTGACCAGAATAAGGAATCCTACATTTCAAAGTTACCATTCACCAATCATTTTATGAATCTGGAAAGAGTGTCTTTAGTTTTGAATCTGCTGTAGTAAAGTAGGCTTACATGCAATTTTAGAAATGTCATAAAACCAGATATACTTTCCCTCAGGTCTGTGTAGTGTTTATTTAAGTAATACCTAATTTTGATGACTTTATGGATTGTTCAGGGTTTTCTCTGTGTGGGCGTGGCCAAAGGGGCCCTCCCCAGGAGTCAGGAGGCTGGGGTCTGTTTCTCATTCTTGGCAGGACTTGCTGCATTGTGTTTGCCACGGCCTCTGCCTCTCAGAGAGCCTTGAACAAACAAAGGCGACTCTTTGCTCTGATCCTGGAGGAGCTAATAGAAACTACAGATTTCTGGAATGCATGGTGCTGCTGTGTTGAATAGTATACCAAGGCAAACTTTGTTAGGTTCAGAAGTAGCAATTTGGTCCATTTAGAGGAATGAACATAATTTGAAAATTAACTTATTTCAAGACCAACGTCTCAAAGTGTTGAGGTCTTTTTAAAATAGGTTTCTGGATTTTGGAGACACACTTTGCTGGCTGTGGTTGTGCAAGAGTGTGCTGTGTGGAGGACTTCGTAGGTGCTGTGCTCAGGTCCTCTTTCCTTTGGGAAACATGTCTGAAGCTAAGTTTTGGAACCATCCTGTGCTGGGACAGGGATGTTTAAGAATCCCTGATTCAGCAGCTCGTGACTAACGTCCAGGTGCCCGTCGTCCTCCCTGCCGGGAACCGCTTACCTGCCACGGTCCTGTGGAGGACCCCATTCTTGGGGTCCCGGAGTGGGGCCTCAGCATTAGTTCTGGGTTGGAATTCTGGCTCTGCCGCAGCAGTGAAGGTGTTTAACGACATTCCTGTTCTCGGTGGATGTGGCCAAATGGGCAGAGCACTATCGTGAAGAGATGCAATTTTGTCCTTACATACGGATTCTACTGGGAGTCTAACAGGAAGCTTGAGCATCTCTGGGTTTTTACAGCTGCTTCCCAGTGCAGCCGCTGAACCAGGAGGTAATCCCTGAGATGATCAGGGAAATACATTAGCTCCTTGGGCACTGCTGGTGGGAGTGTGAATTCATATATCACTTTTCTGGAGTCCAGTTTGGTATTTATTATATGTGGAAAGCCTTTAAAAAGGTGTGTACCCTTTGACCCAATACTTGTGCTTATAGGAATTTACATAAAGATTATAATCAGAGATGCTCTAGTACTGTTATACTGACAAAACATGAAACAGGGGATTAGTTAAATACTCTGGTTTGACAAAATATTTCATACTCTAAAAATAATGTTACATAAAAATGTACTGATATGGCAAAATGTTTATGACTTATAATTAAGTTTAAAAAAGCAGATCAGACGTTAGTGTGTACTGTCTGATCGCAGTTTGGAGAATAATAATGTTCATGTGTGTGTGTGATAAAAAAGATTGGGAAAACCTACACCAGCATTTGAACTTGATAATTTTTGGATGTTTTATTTCACTCTTTGTAAACTTAAGTATTTTCTGAAAATTTTATAATCGGCTTTGTAACAAAAAATAAATTATTTTTTAAGAGACTGACTAATATTTATTATTGAATGCAGTTACATAATCAACTGGCAGTTACAGTTCCCTAAACATTGGACTTCAGACTCTTAATTTTCACAGCATGTCCTTATTTTCATAAGTAGAAAACTACACTTTTATTTGTCATGTTGAAATTATAACAGGTTCAAAATACTGAGTCTGGATCAATAAGGTAACATTGCATTGCAGAGTAATTTCTGTGAGCCCAGTGTGAAAGATGCCAACTCAGTGTGTGTAACCAAGTCTTTGTAGTGAGGGGGGAATGACCAGTTACTAGGTTCCGGGCTAGGGGACGCAGGGAGACATGGTAGACCAGGGGCTACACAAATCGCCCGATGACAAGAAAGACGACCCAGGAGCAGCACGAGGAACAGGAGCCACCTTCCTGAGATCCAGTCCTCTCCGCTGTGACACTCCCCTGACTGAGCCAAATTCACCATGCCCAGCACGGAAAGGCCCTGATTCCACATCTGGGGGAGATGCTGGCCCTCCCTAGCGTCCTAATCCTGGGTCTCAGAGAGTCAGCTCTGTAACGGTGGCTAAGGCTGCCCACCGCCGGCGGGGGTTAGAGTTCAAGGCAGCACGGCACTCGGGCACTTTCCTACATTGTGAGGTACAGTAAAACCACCAGGAACGGGGCTGTCCTAATGGGTCTGTGCTGCTACCCAGCGCTGCCACATCTGGGAGCACCCAGGTGGGTTTGGTCAGCGCTTCCCAGCACACGATCAGGACAGCGCTGTGTTTCCAGCAGAGAGAGATTTCAACATTTAGGCTCTTAGAAAACACTTAATGTGGCTTCCTTAGGGAAGGAAACCCAAGTCAGGTTTTCTGGGTGGGGTTTCTCCCCTCCCAGGAAGAGAAGCAGAGGAGCAGACAAGACCAGGTCTAGGTCTTCACCTAAGGCTGTTGAACTTTTCCTCTGTTCCTTTTTTCACTGTTTGAATAAAGCTGCCAAGGAGGTGGGGGCATGAGGACGTGGGACACAGTGCCTGCTCCCCCTAATCCTCGCCACGGATAGACGAGCGCCTCGTATCCGCCTCCCCCAAGCAGTCCTTAATCGGCCTTCGCCAGTGTCTGGAGCAAGCTGTCTTGTCAAATCAAGAATGTGATGCTTAGTGTGATTTTTGAGTGTTTGGTGGCTCATCTATTCCTAAATGACATAGGTGGACCTGCCTTCATAATGGGCACATCTGAAATAACCAGGAGCAACAGTGGTGGCTGCAGCTCAGCTCTGTGGGGGAGCTTAGAGGGGCTGTCTGCCTGGGGACCGTGGACTTGTCCTGAATCTGCCTTGCACAGCAGGTGCAGTGTTTGGCATCGCATGATCTAGATTGATATAAATAGCAAAGGTTTCTAAAGATGACTTTATTCATATTTTATATCAGTTATCTGTATCAAATAATATTTCTATTCGGTGTGGCTTTAGGAGAGAAACTACTCCCGATAAAAGATAAAGGATGAAAGCAAGGCTGGCGGGTGGGGGTGAGCACGGGGCTGAGATGATACCGACAATCATCTGCTACTCAAATTTAAAAGACATGTATTCTGGAACCTAATAAATTCTCCCACATATTATATATGTCGTGCTTTCCTTAATAATTGCATTGGAACAAGATTAAAGCAAAAGTGATTATGTTAATTTCCTGCTCATGATCTATTTTTGAGAGAGAATAATCAAACTGATAACCAAATGCTTTTGTGCAGAAAAATGAATTCCACTATGATGATCATTGTATCCTTTCAGTGGGATTGCTACAGAGAAAGGAGAAGGAAAGAGGAAGGGAAGAGGTGGGGGAGAGAGAGGGAGGGGGAGGAGAAAGGGAGAGGAGAGGGAGAAGGAGGGAAAGGGTTAGGAAGAGAGTGGGGCGAGGAAGGGGCAAGGGGAAG